TAGATTTGCACACCCAAGATTAGCCCTTCTTTTCACATACTTAGTTTGTTCCTAACACAATATTATAAACGGCCATGGAGGAAACTCCAACCCACTTATTATTCAAATGTAATGACCATCCTACCTTAACAAAAGGCACCATTCCAACTTGAGCCTAAGTTCAGGGAAGACACCTAGATAATGTCCTTGCCCCTGGGATCCATTAAAAGGGTTTCGGGGTTGAGGTGAGTCCATCATACACCACCAACCACCCACCATTCACCATCCACCTCGCTGGGAAATGTCAGGTCCCCAAAGATGTGAAACCCCAGCCTGACCTTGTGCACGAATTGAAATGCTAATCACCTGACCAAGAGCGCATCCTTGGAGGGCTGCTCTGCCATTATGCAGGGGGTGCCAAGTGGAATTTAATTAGCGCTGGTCAGTAAATGCTAATGAAGCAACCTGCTAATAGAAGGACCCCTCTTGTTTTCCCAATCCCACAGGACGAGGAGGCGGGCAAGAAAATCATTTATGTGGACAAGGATACGCTGGCGGCCAATTCTCACCTGGTCTACGCCGTGCACAATGACTCCAATGGACTGTTCCGGCCGGACTGCCACGCCTACGAGGCGGATCACACAGGCAGGCCACATACCATCGTCAGTTGTCGTGAGTATACTCATATACTAATCACATACTAAAATATTAGATGCGATTATCATGTTAGATATATTTTAGGAAACCCTTTGTCAGGAACTTTAATTATAAGTTTTAATTTAAAAATCACAAATTAATTTTTTTTGGCGTTTTTATAATAACAAAAATAATAATTATTTTGTGATTTTAATAATACTTTGCAAAAATAATAATTATTTTATTTTTGGGTAAAAAGCGATTGATTTCTTGATTAATCGTTATTAGCTAACCCTGCTTTCTGTATATTAAAAAATCCTTATAAATTCCCTCTCCAAACAGAACTGCGTTTCTCCCGCAGCGGTGTCCTCCGTGAAAGTCCGTATTGTGTTTCCCTGGAAGCTCGGGATCTGACCATTGAAACCCAAAACGATGCCATGTCAGCCACGGCCCACATTTGTTTCCGCATAAACCTGAGTAATCTTCACGAAGCCGACCAGGAACTGCCACAAGCTCTGCCCCTGCGATCACGTCAGCATAGAATCTTCGAGAACGAGGACTTCAATGGTGATGCTGCAAGCAGATCCCTGGGATCCTTGACAGTGGATTACGAAAAGGATGTGTCCGTATATAGGACAGCTGCTTCCTACTATCGCGTAGTTCAGCCAGAAAGTTTTCTAGATTTGATGAGGTCTCGATCGATACGATTCGATATTGTGGAGGATAAAATAGGGGCTTTTGGCATTACCCCGACATCGGGTATTGTGTATGTGAAGAATCCACAGGCTTTGGAGGAGGCTCCCGAAACCATTTACTTCCTGAACGTGACCTGGATGGATCAGCAGCGACTGTCGCATGTGCGGGTCATAAATGTGCATTTGGTTCATGGCAGACCGGAGAACACCAGTTGCGAGCTGAAGATCAAGTCACGATCGCAGACCTGCGCCGAGGTTAAATTCCCGACGCAGTGCAGCCGATTCTGTGGCTTGGCCACTGGCGGCGCCTCTTGTCAGTGGCGGGGCTCCAATTCGGCCATGTTCGGCTCCCGATACGGATCTTGTGTGCCCGAATCTCGCTACTGTCCAGATCATGTGTGCGATCCGTTGGAGGAACTGAATCCCATGGCCTGTCCGCAGGATTGCACGCCAGCCGGCCGGATAATGGGTCCACATACGAGCAATGAGAACAAGAGGGGCATCTATAGTGCCTCTGGAACGTGCACGTGCGAGGACAATGGCAAGTGTTCGTGTGCTCCGCTGGATGAGGAGCCCAAGGTGAAGAAGCCTCGCAAGCGGAAGAACGAAACGGAGGCGGAACCACTGCTGTCGGGTAAGAGGGGCACTCCTGCCGCTGATCCATCTCTGCAGGATCCCCTGCTGTTGGGTGTTCTAAATGTGGCCGGTTTCGAGTGCGATCGATCGTGCATGTTCTTTGTGATCACCTGCCCGTTGTTGGTTGTCCTCCTGCTCCTGTGCCTGCTGATTGCCCAGCGGAAGATGCTCCAACGTCGCCTGGGCAAACAATCGATGACGCCGTCCGCCAAACAGGCTCTTCCGGAATTGGGTGACGGAGATCTGGCCCTGATGCCGCTGCAAAGTGGCTTCAAGTTCGAGAGTGGCGATACCAAGTGGGAGTTTCCCCGCGACAAACTGCAACTGGATACGGTTCTGGGCGAGGGTGAGTTCGGTCAGGTCCTCAAGGGATATGCCACGGAGATCGCCGGACTGCCCGGCATCACCACCGTGGCTGTGAAGATGCTCAAAAAGGGCGCCAATTCCGTGGAGTACATGGCCCTGCTCTCGGAGTTCCAGCTGCTGCAGGAGGTATCCCATCCGAATGTGATCAAGCTGCTGGGTGCCTGCACCTCCTCGGAGGCGCCTCTCCTGATCATCGAGTATGCCCGCTATGGCTCGCTGAGGAGCTATCTCCGTCTCAGCCGGAAGATCGAGTGCGCCGGCGTCGACTTCGCCGATGGAGTGGAGCCAGTCAATGTGAAGATGGTGCTCACCTTCGCCTGGCAGATCTGCAAGGGCATGGCCTACCTCACCGAGCTCAAGGTGGGTTTATTTTTAATGAGTATAGATTATTACAAAAATGTAATTTGAATTTAAGTACAAAGTGTAATTTAATTATTAATTAATGTTTTTTTTTCCATTTTTAGAAGTAGAGCTATGTTGTCATATGTTTTTAAAACTATAAGTTGATCCCTACTAAGCCAGCATGATCTTGGAAATTAAAGAAGACTGTCTAGTAACTTAAAACTTTAATAGTCTTTTTCACGAAATAGCTTTTTAAAAATTGAAAACCAAAATAACTGATGAAATTTTTTGCTTAAAATGATTTAGTTTATTACAATTTTGATGAAATAAAAAAAACTTAAATAGGAATTTTTTTTTAAATAATTGAATGAATATTTAAAACGTTATGTTAATGGATTATTTTTTGATTTGCAACTGGCAATTCTCAATCCTATATCTACTTATTTTTTGACAAGTTTTAACTCAAAAATTTAACTACTACCCATTGACATCCTATTATATCTGCAGCTCGTTCATCGCGACTTGGCGGCCAGAAATGTACTCCTTGCGGATGGCAAAATATGCAAGATCTCGGATTTTGGACTCACCCGAGATGTTTACGAGGACGATGCCTATTTGAAGCGATCTAGAGATCGAGTGCCCGTCAAGGTAAGTTTGTACCATTATATATTAGTCCTGAAAGAACTACAAATAACTATTACTCAACCTGCAGTGGATGGCACCGGAATCGCTGGCGGATCACGTCTATACCAGCAAATCGGATGTTTGGTCCTTCGGCGTGCTCTGCTGGGAACTGATCACCTTGGGAGCCTCACCCTATCCGGGAATCGCTCCCCAGAATTTGTGGTCCCTGCTGAAGACGGGCTATCGCATGGACAGGCCGGAGAATTGTTCGGAGGCGGTTTACTCCATAGTGCGCACTTGCTGGGCGGATGAACCGAATGGGCGACCATCCTTTAAGTTTCTGGCCTCCGAGTTTGAGAAGCTGCTGGGCAACAATGCCAAGTACATAGATCTGGAGACGAATGCCGTTTCGAATCCGCTCTACTGCGGTGATGACTCCGCACTGATGACCACGGATTTCGGTGAGCCGGAATCGTTGCAGCATCTGTGGTCACCGCCCAAGATAGTCTACGAGATCCATGACCAGGGCACCAGTTACGATCAGTCGGAGGAGGAGATGCCGGAGACATCGACGGCTCCGCCTGGTTACGATCTGCCACGACCACTGATCGATGCCACCGCCAAGGAGCAGGTTCTGCGGTACGAAAACGATCTGCGGTTCCCCTTGAATATTCGCAAGTCCAGCTGCACTCCGAGCTACAGCAACATGACCAATGGTTCTGCGGCGGCCACCTCGCTGCCACACTATTCGGTGCCCGTGAAGAGGGGTCGCTCCTACCTGGACATGACCAACAAGAGTCTCATACCCGACAACCTGGACAGCAGGGAGTTCGAGAAGCATCTCTCCAAGACCATCTCGTTTCGCTTCTCCAGCTTGCTGAATCTCAAGGAGACGGCCGAGGCGGATCCAGGTCAACAGGCCGAGGATGTCGTCTGAATCCCCAGTGTACCATATTGTTTTCCACCCGTCATCCATCACTCAGTTCCGAGTTCTTGTCTCTCATCTGCGCCTGTTTTTCAGTTCAAACTGTTTGTTAATTAGTTTTAGTTTTACATTTAGTCTCGTAGCTTTATGCTGATGCCAAAAATGTATGGTAAATGAACCGAATTCAAATTTTATACAAGAAATTAAAAAGCCAAAGAGAAACTATGTTCTATTGGTCCACATTCCAAGCCCTCTTTCCAAAAAAAAAACAAAATAACAATACTTTTAAAAGAGTTTTGAATAAACAAAACATGTATAACCAGTCTGGAATGAAAAACTTAGATTATAATTATTTAAATGCTGCCTAAAAAATTCCAGATAATGCTATACACAAAGGTTTTAAAAAAACGTAAAAAGAAATATTCGTTTTGAATCTTTAAAGTAGTGTAAATTTTGGAACTGTATACTTCTGCTTATAAGACTTTAAAATGTGCCTATTTGTTAAAGGTTTCGCCACATACACACTATTTAAAACACATGTTGTGGGATTTTTTAAAAAAATGAATGCGTTTATAATAACTTACACTCTAAAATTGTACAATTTTGCTAGAACGAGCTGCTAAGTGTGATTCATAATTTCTAAACATTGTTAAGCATTTCAATCATCATTCTTTTGATGTTCAGTCATAATCTAAGATTCCAGTTATTTAAGTCATTACAAATCATAAAAACGAGTACACCTGGTACATCTCTATATATGGAAAAACCTGCACTAAACAATCTCACAGGCACTTTAGATTTTTAGTAATCGGAAACCCCTTGTACTTATTTATCTACGACGAATACGAATCCTTTTTTTAAGCCAAATAGCGAATAACCAGAGGACTGTAAATATTTGTATGTACTGCATTTGCTATTTAAATTTTAAATATATAAATTAAAACATACCAAATACAACAACGAAGGAGGTGGTCTAGTTTTTACTCTTCGTCGGGAACTAACAGATTGAGATTGGCACTGCCGGCCAGGCTGCCCATGAAGGTCTCCTCGTCGCCTCTAATTGAGAGGGATTCCCTGCCAGTGAGGACCTTCTTCTCCCGAATCATGGCCGCCCTTTCCCATCGCGATCCCTTGCAGTTCTTGCAGCTGTGCTTGGGCAATTTGAACACTGTGATCGTGCGATTGCCGCAGTCCTTGCACTGGAAGAACCGCTTCTCGGCATCCACCACTTTCAGGGGATGCTTCTCCTCCTTGCAGCGATCGGAGGCGGAGAAGGCGGTGTATTTGCACACCTGACAGATAACCGCCTTGCAGGGCATCTTGTAGGTGCCCAGCATCTTCTCCTCCATGGCCTCTTTGCGCTCCAGCTTGTTGAAGTAATCCTCCTGCGCCTCGCGCTCTCGCATCTCCACGAGATTCGTGTGGGACGATGTGGCTGCCATAATCTTTTCGATTCGAGACTTTCGCATCAGTTCGCGATCATCTTCCTCGATTTTCTGGCGCTTGGAACTGCTGGAGAACTTATCGTTGAGCTCATCGATGGCTCGCCTCTTGCCAGTTTCACTGCCCCTTGTGGAATTGGGATTGATCTTCTCCAGCGGTTTTTTCTTTAATAGGGCAGCTGCTCTCAGCTTGGCACTTTGTGCCTGACGAGCTCCTACATTGATTTCAAATGAGAAGTTTTCGCTGCCGGAGAGTTTGGGTGTCAAACTGGCATCGAAGGAGAAACCACGATTCTTGAACTTATCCGGCACGGGTGTAGTAGGCATACTGGAAGTGGTTGCCTCCGGTTCCTTTTTACTATCACTGCCCAAAACATGACCCTTGGCCGCCTCTTCCTTTTTGAATCGCTCATTTTCCGCCTTAAGCAGTCGCAAGCGCTCCAAATCCTGGCACCTCTGCTTCCTAGAAGCTTCCACACCGCCAGCCAAACGGGAAACAGGACCACCACGCTCTGCATACGGAATTGACGGGGGTCCGGATGTCTTGGGCTTGGAGGCATGGTCAGCGGTGTGGGCAAAGGGCGACACATCGTAGCCGGCCAGGCTGCTCAGGCGATCGCGCTCCTTGGAGATCAACTTGGCACTTTTCTTGGCGGGAACGGCCATAAAGGCTTGTCCGCCATAGAAGACCTCGTTTTTGCCTACAAAATAAGCAAGTTAACTAGTGTTAAATGATTGATTTAAGTGACTTTACTTACCCAACACCTTGTTTCTCAGCTCATTGAGGCCACGACCTGCGTTGGCAGATTGGAGTTCTGAACGCCGGGACATCTTGCCATACTCCTGCTTCACATGAAAGATGCAATAATCGCAATCGGTGGTGTTAACAATTGATGTGCACTTGTCACCATTCTTCTTGGTGGCTCGGCAGGTGCCCAGATCTTTGGACTGGCCCAGGATCATGACTTTCTGGGAGCTATCGATGGAGAGGCAGGCCACATCGCTGCTACCCGCTCTCCGCTCGAAAATACTTGGATTCAAGACAGCCAGGCACAAGCCCTCCGCTGTCTTCCACAGGGTTTTGTGGGCCTCCTTGAAGAGGTAAAGCGATATAGTTTTGACCTCGCCGCGCAGGTCTGACAGCTTCCAGGTGGAGAAGGGATCACCCTTTTTGGTGTTCTTCACGGGATTCTTGGAGACCAGGGCGCCGGCAATGACCCAATCTTTGGCCAGATCACCGCGTTCGATGTGGAAGGCCACGCCGGAAAAGGGCACCGCCTTCCTGCCCGCCATGCGCTCCTGTAGCAGTGAGCTCGAGATCAGGGGATTTATCATGCGCAGTCCAAAGACGGGATCCGTGTAAACGGCGGAGATGGGAGCACTAGGCTGGGTTGTGGATGCCACGGCAGCTGCAGTCGGTGGAGGTCTTTGGAACGTGCTGCTCACCGTCGACTGGCGCTTGATCGGATTGTGGGGATTCTTGAGCGGCTGCGGCGTGGATGTGACCATCTGGGTGGTCTTCTTCAGCGCCTGGTCCACCTCCCGGACCACCTTGGACTCGTGGGCACTCTGGCGCTGCTGCTTCAGGCTCTGGTTAATGTCACTGCCGTACTCGTTGTACTTGCGCTCCAGGAAATTCTTGACTTCCTCGTCGTCGGAAGAGTCCAGCTCCGGCTCTTTGGCGATCGCAGTTTTATCCTGCTTTGCTGGTTTCACGGCCTTCTCGAAGGTGAAGGCTTTGGCGAAACTGCTGTCTTCCCGCAGTTTTGGCACTGCGTTGGCCAAAGTGGGTGTGGGTTTTGGTTTTTCCGATTTTGCAGACTCGGCAATATCATTTTCCGGCTCGCCCAGCAGTTTCTCCAGCGCCAGTATCTCCTCCTCATCGTCGATGCTGATGTCTGACTGGGACTTATTAGCGGGACTCATTTCAAATGGTTTTTTACGCGAATTTTCACGTGTTTCTTAGTTTTTCCACAGAGTTTTCCAACCGAGCGCAAAAACAAATTACTTTTGGCGGGCTCAATATGAACGTAGTTGGTAATTTTAGAAATGCTGCTTCTGTGCGGTTTACCCAACACTGGCTACGCAGAGATGGCAGTATTTTATTTTAATTAACTGTGCGATAGTATTTTATCAAAATTAATACAAATTACTTATTAATACTTTAATTTGACATGGAAACTCACAAATTTCTGTTAAGTTGCCAATAAAACATAATATTAAATACAATGGAAACAATTTAAACTAAACCCTAAGGACATTGGAACTCTGCTCCCCAAAAAATACCCTTATCTCCCACATCTGGTATATTTCTTTTGCCGCAAAACTCCGGATTTTTTCGCTTCCAAGTTACGGTCATACGCTCGTCAATAAGTCATCTTTCGGCTTTAATTCACGAAAAATTGCAGAAAAAGCGAAATAAAAGTGCCTAGAAGAGGCCAATCGAAAGCAGCCGAGTTGCAGCCGTGAAAATCATAGTGGAAACTTTGCCAGCGGTGCCGAGGAAACCGTGGAAACGCGGAAAAGCAGCCGTAGCAGCAGCCAAAAAAGAAAGAGAGAGAGAGGAGACCGCTAACAACGGATCGCGAACTGGTGTTTAGGCATTAAGTTTTCCGCTGCTCGCCACGGTTTTCCACGGCCTTGCCCACGGACTTACCGCCCCGCCCCCCTGGAAGAACCGCCTGCCAAGTGACAACGACGAGCAGGTGAGGCTATATGGCCAAAGATGCCCGAACCGATCCCAATAAAAATCGCCATGCGGCACAGCTCCACCCACAAGTTACCACCCCCTTTCAAATGCTTCAACTTTAACCGCATTTGCCATTTTTTCGCCCTTTGCGATTTATTTTGCAAACATTTCTCGTGGCCATTTTGTGGTTATAAGCGCCGCTTGTAGGCGGCTCCACGTGTGTTTGTGTGTGTGTGTGCGTGTGTACTAGCTACATGTATATTGAGTTACAAGCACGCGGCCTCCCAACTTTTTTTTTTGTTGTTCTTGTGTTGTTGTTTCTGATAACCTTTAGCTTGTTGTTATCAAAAATATAAGAGAGAGAGAGAGCCAAAAGAAGAACAAGGCTTACATCACAGGCTTCGTCAAATCGCATCAGTGACCTAATGCACTTTTAACCCCTGGAGTTGCTGCTGCTGCAAAATGAAAAACACAAGAAAACTTGCAGAGTTGCCACAGCCATTTGTCTCATGACTTTTTGTTGTTTATTTTTATGCATTTTCCTTACGCATTTTCCTTTCCATCTATGTTTCTCTGTTTTCGTTTACCTGCCATTTCTCTTTCGCTCTCTCTCTCTCCTGCTTTCGTTCTCACTCTCTCTTGCATTTTCGCCCGTCATCTGGCGGTCAGTAGCCGGCGCCCCTTCCCCATATCATGCCATTACATTCCGTTTCCTCTTCTCATCCTCATCCTCTCGCATCCGATATTGTATTCTATAATATACGAAAATCGTAGATAAGTTCGGCAATCCGAAATTTAGATTCCCTTCCAGTTAGTAATAGTTTAATTAAACGTACTAAACTTAATGTCCAAACAAAAAGTTTATTGTGGTAGTCTCATTTGATGCAAAAACTGGATATATCCCTAAAAAATAGAAGTTGTGACATCCTATTTTTTCTCATTTTAAATTATATTATCCTAAAACCATACCTTAATTGTATCATTCAATTGTAATTATAATTTGCTTTAAATAAAATTAAAATTTTGTATATATAAACATCATTATTTGTTTTATATGGCTTTCTATTTTAAAATATATATATATATATCATTGATGTTGATGAAATGCAAACAATCATATGACCCAAATTACTTACTTACTTTTTGGAAGGGCATAGAAATCAGAATCGCCACCCCGCACCTTAAATCATTTTTCGTAGGCGTCGCCTCTTTGGCCTTGTTTTTTCTTCGCTTTGAGTTTTCGCATTGGAGTTTTCCTTCCACATTGCACATTCCACCATTCTGTGACCAGAAAATCTTTGCCAATGTTTGTTGTCTATCGTAGAGCGTCCTGGCCAGCTGCATGTTGAATGTTTCTGCGAGTGCTCCACAAGATATTGCCGGTATGTGAGTCCTCTCAACCACCTCCCTGAATCTCAATCCCCGCCAGTGCCTCGAAACTAAACCTCAATCCCCCACCTCCTAGCCAGCTTTTAGCCTTGTCTCTTTCGAGTCGATTGCAGCCACAACTGGAGCATAAATAAGCCGCAGAAACGACCCCACCAGCCAGTCGAGATTCGGTGTTTGATTCGGCGATTGCTTGACTGACATTCAAATTTTTGCTCTTTGCAGTGCTGCAACGATAAAGAAATGAACTCAAACATATTTCTGGGCACAGCTGAGAATGGCCTGCGGCACGATAAGATTGTTATACTCGATGCGGGAGCACAGTACGGCAAGGTGAGCTCATACCCAAATAAACTTTCAAATAATAGGCTAATCCGTATATTCTCGCCCATTTTAGGTAATCGACCGCAAGGTACGAGAACTCCTGGTGGAGTCGGACATCCTGCCACTGGACACACCGGCGGCCACGATACGCAACAATGGCTATCGGGGCATCATCATCTCCGGCGGACCCAACTCCGTTTACGCCGAGGATGCGCCCAGCTACGACCCCGATCTGTTCAAGCTGAAGATCCCCATGCTGGGCATCTGCTACGGCATGCAGCTGATCAACAAAGAGTTCGGGGGCACTGTGCTCAAGAAGGATGTGCGGGAGGATGGCCAACAGAACATCGAAATTGAGACCTCGTGCCCGCTCTTCAGGTGAGCCACTGCTGGAGGCTATTTTCGATATTCGATATCTTGGCAGCAACAAGAAAGTGCTTGAGTTAATTGAGTTTATTTAAGCGCTGATACAATGCTGCCAGAAGAATTTCAATGCCAAGAACAGTTCAGTTTGATTCAGTTTACAAACTGGTCTACACGTGGCCAAACATTCTTATTATGTAAATGATTAGTCTCGATTGGTTTTATTAAAGCTTTGCTTTGTAATTTACTAAAATCAATCTCTTTGTTTCCCCACAGTCGCCTCAGTCGCACACAGTCCGTGCTCTTAACCCACGGCGACAGCGTAGAGCGGGTGGGCGAGAATCTGAAGATCGGTGGCTGGTCCACGAATCGCATTGTGACGGCCATTTACAATGAGGTACTCCGCATCTACGGCGTCCAGTTCCATCCGGAGGTGGACCTAACCATCAATGGCAAACAGATGCTATCGAACTTCCTCTACGAGATCTGCGAACTGACGCCCAACTTCACAATGGGAAGCCGAAAGGAGGAGTGCATACGCTATATCCGCGAGAAAGTGGGCACCAACAAGGTGTTGGTGAGTTTGAAAAACCATAATGCCCACTAGATAGTTGCAGCTCTAAATGGTATCTATATCTTGCAGCTGCTGGTCAGCGGGGGCGTGGATTCGAGTGTCTGTGCAGCTTTGCTTCGCCGTGCCCTGTATCCTAATCAGATAATTGCGGTGCATGTCGATAATGGTATGAAAATCACAAGATAAGAGTCGCGAAACGTGTACATACATAAATAACTATGCCAAAAATAGAACGTAATATTTTTTTCCCCGAAAATAAGTAACTTTATATAAATTATACAATTTCTCTTTAATTTTAAGATAACTTAGTAGTCAAAATAATTTCTATCCCCCTAAAATCAAAATTTTTGTACTTAAAATGTCTTAAAACATAATCGTATTATGCTTTTTAAAATGAAAATCAACACTAATTGATTTGCATTCTACTCATACTCATAGGTTTCATGCGCAAGAACGAAAGTGAAAAGGTGGAGCGTTCACTGCGCGATATCGGCATCGATTTGATCGTCCGCAAGGAAGGCTATACGTTCCTCAAAGGCACCACGCAGGTCAAGCGGCCGGGTCAGTACTCCGTGGTGGAGACGCCCATGCTCTGCCAGACCTACAATCCGGAGGAGAAGCGCAAGATAATCGGTGATATATTTGTCAAAGTGACCAACGACGTGGTGGCCGAGCTGAAGCTTAAGCCCGAGGAGGTTATGCTGGCCCAGGGAACACTCCGACCAGATCTGATCGAATCGGCCTCCAATATGGTCAGCACCAATGCAGAAACAATCAAAACGCACCACAATGACACGGATCTGATTAGGTAATGTGATAGCAATCTTTTTTTTTCAGGGAATTCTATAGTAATGTTGTTCGCTTTTCATTATATTTAGAGAACTTCGTAATGCGGGACGTGTTGTTGAGCCACTGTGTGACTTCCATAAGGATGAGGTGCGCGATCTGGGCAATGATCTGGGTCTGCCGCCGGAGCTGGTGGAGAGGCAGCCCTTCCCCGGTCCTGGCCTGGCCATCCGCGTCCTTTGCGCTGAGGAGGCATACATGGAGAAGGACTACTCGGAGACTCAGGCATGTTTGCCATTAATACTTCTTCTTTATCAAAGGGTAACCTTTAATAAATTGATTTATTATACACAGGTGATTGTCCGCGTGATCGTGGACTATAAGAATAAACTGCAGAAAAACCATGCACTGATCAACAGGGTAACGGGTGCCACAAGCGAGGCGGAGCAGAAGGATCTGCTGCGAATCTCCGCCAACTCGCAGATCCAGGCCACCCTGCTGCCCATCCGTTCAGTGGGCGTGCAGGGCGACAAGCGGTCCTACAGCTACGTGGTGGGCCTGTCCACGAGTCAGGAGCCCAACTGGCAGGACCTACTCTTCCTCGCCAAGATCATACCGCGCATCCTGCACAACGTGAACAGAGTGTGCTACATCTTCGGCGATCCCGTGCAGTATCTGGTGACGGATATCACGCACACCACACTCAACACGGTGGTATTGTCGCAGCTGAGGCAAGCGGATGCCATTGCCAATGAGGTGGGCTTAATTGACTTGGATTTAAGTAAATTGTATTAACTTGTACTCTTCTTAGATCATAATGCAAGCTGGTCTGTACCGAAAAATCTCACAGATGCCTGTCGTCCTAATACCCGTGCACTTCGATCGCGATCCCATTAATCGCACGCCCTCCTGCAGAAGATCGGTGGTGTTGCGCCCGTTCATAACGAATGACTTTATGACTGGTGTGCCGGCAGAGCCCGGCTCAGTGCAACTGCCAGTGCAAGTGAGTGTATCTCAAACTGCAATCAAAGTATACAAATTAATCATTGTTTCTTGCGTGCAGGTCCTTAATCAAATTGTGCGCGACATATCCAAGCTGGATGGAATCTCGAGAGTGCTGTACGACTTGACAGCCAAGCCGCCGGGCACCACCGAGTGGGAATGATGCGTTCAAACCAAAACTTTCAACAGCCATTTCATAGAAGTAGATGAGACAAACAATAATCAACCAAGCAACAAGCGGCGGGCGCTCGATAGGAGGACAATGGCCGATCGGTCGGTCAGTTGGCGTAACGATCGAACGGCGGATGGATCGATCCTAGCCTTCGGGGCCATCGCAGCTGCTCCTGCCTTTTAGAGAGACACGTAAAACGAGCAATTGAAGAGGCGCAAATACAGAACTGGAACTGCCGCTTCGGAAATTCGAAAACAATTCAGGTTCATAATATCGATGATGCATGTGTGTAATGTGTAATTAATGCGGAATTAAGCGAATCTAAGCGAGATCTAACACAGACGGCAAACTATTTGCCAGGTAATACTTATGTACATTTTCACGTTTTGTTCCTTTTGTGAAAAGGAATGTGCCCACAAACCACGTAACAAACAAAAACAATTAATTTACGCATTTTTAGTTATATACATAAAATATATATATATATATATATATATATATATTATATACATACAGATATTAAATAATTGCAACCCCAAGTTCTAAAAGTTGTATATTTGCAAGAGAGAAAGTGTTTTCGTGGCAAAAGGCATAAACAAAAGAAGATTGTAAGAATACGAAACAAAAATATTGTAAGCTAAAATTATGAATTGTTATATAAAAACGTCTATATTTAAAAAATGGCAAAACCAGAAAAACAAAACCATTCTGATGATACAAGAAATGTAATAAAACGAAAAATCGATTTAAAAGTATGTTGTGCTCCATTGACTCCTGGTAAAAAACTACGATTTAATCTTTGTCTTTAAGTTGGTTAAATAATATGGTCCTCCACTGGTGACCTTCTGCATTTTTTGAAAGGCTTCTCGGGACAGAACCAACTTGCTTCTCTCGTGGTTTCTCAACTTCTCGAACGAAGCCATCTTTTCCGTGATGGGAGTGTGGGTTTTTGGTTTTTTCGCCACTTTTTCCAACATCTTCGAGGGAAGCTTTTCAAGAGTAAATCTCGGAGACTTGAACTGCGTAGGATTTTTAAAGAATAAGTACAATCAGTACAATTGAGACAGAAAATAGTGAAATAAGAAAAAGGTATGGTTTTTCATTTGATGATTACTTTTTTCTGATAAACCATATTGTTTACCTCAATCTTTTAACTCATAAATTAACTCACAATTTCCCTAGGTAAACTTTTCCTTTCTCTGTGAAACATGTGATTGAGAAAGTGAAGTTTATCCTCGTAGAATAGTTTGGGTCTCGCTGTTTCGCCCAAAAGTTTGGCCCCCTGCTCTTGGATGCGCTTCAAGTCGACATTATAGCGCAGCCTGTGCATCATATGCTTCCAAAACTCCGGTGGGGAATCCGGTTTCATTTCATGGGCAATCGCCTCCCAGATTTCCTCCTTGCGCTCAAAGTTAAAAAAGTCCCTATCACACTGGTTCCACAAACACTTGTGATCCTCAAAAAGGGCGATCAGCTTTAACTTAACCTTTGGGCTTTGCCTTAACTGCGGACTGGGTGAGAAGTTGATTGGGGTTCTCCTCAAAGAGGTGCCATCGGTGTAGGAATAGTAGCCCGTGGAGGAGTCAAAGGACGTTTTACTCTGTTCTTCGCGCTTCAATTTGGCCACCAGAAGGGCTCGGCTTCTCCCCAATGAAGGAGTCCTTTCGGAGTAAAAGTATTCCGTGGTGGAAGATGAATTTCTGGGCCGTCCCTTGCGATTCATTTTAGCTACTAGAAATTTGATTTACAGAAAATTTAAGCAGCATTAAATAACACTTAAGTGTGACAAACTATTCAAATGAAAGATTATCCAGAAACATAAAATTTAAAAACTTTAATAAGTTTTGCTTCTAAATTTTCTCCCATTCCCAGATGTTTTACTAAAACCATTTGGGTTATTGATATTATACTTTATTTTCCACTGCATAATAATAATATCAACTCACTGTTGTTTCTTACATCTTATAATTGATACAATTAAGTTATTAATGGGGAAAATAAAGGAGACATGGGATTTATTGAGGGCTCTTATTGTCCGCTTTTCGGGTTGTAATTGTTGTTAAATAAAAGAATCGCTTTAATACGTATGACTTTGAGTTTTATTCGCACTTAACCATCTTCATCGTCGAGGCAATCTGCAGAACGTTTAGACAAATTCGAAAAAGAACAAAATCGAAGGAAACATTCATAGCAAGAATTTAAAATAATAATGTGTATAATTATGTGTATATATAAAACTCTTACAAATTCTCGCTATCGTTCGGTTACATAATTCACTTTTAAAACAGCACACTCGATCAAACTCGAAATAAAATATAAACAATTTGAAAAAAATTGAATAACAATACCATAACTCGATTGCTTGCGTTGTGAGTCTGAGTGTCTTTTGCCTACAAGGAGTAAGGGCTGGCTATCTGGGTTTCTGGCTTCTGGACAGGGGTCTCTTAAGTAGGTCCATAGCACCATTTACTGGGCGGCCAGCTCCTTCATGCGGTTGAGGGCACTGCCGGCCTTGAACCAGCCGATCTGCAGGTCGTTCAGGGTGTGGTTCAGCTTGATCTTGTCGACCTTGTCGCCGTTCTTGACCTCACATTCCACGGGCTTTCCGGGCGCCAGCGAGTTCAGGTTGAGCAGGGAGATCTTGCTCGTGGGCTGGATCTATTCAGGTGTAAAATGAAGGATTAAAACGGGAAGTTACAAAAGTATAGCCTCACAAACCTTATCGTAATCAGCGGGATTGGCGAAGGTGAGGGGCAGCAGACCCTGCTTCTTCAGGTTGGTCTCGTGGATACGGGCAAAAGACTTGACAATGATGGCGCGGCCACCCAGGTGACGTGGCTCCAAGGCGGCATGCTCGCGAGACGAACCCTCGCCGTAGTTCTCATCGCCGACGGCCACCCACTTGATACCGTTGGCCTTGTAGTCGCGGGCCACGTCGGGCACACCGCCCCAGGAGCCGTTGCGCTGGTTCTTGATGTTGTTCATCTCGTTGTTCTCGTAGTTGGTGGCGCCGATGAACATGTTGTTGGAGATGTTGTCCAAATGGCCACGGTACTTCAGCCAGGGTCCAGCGGCGGAGATGTGATCGGTGGTGCACTTGCCCTTCACCTTGATCAGCACGGTCATATCGGTCAGATCCTTGCCGTTCCACTTATCGAAGGGCTCCAGCAGCTGCAGGCGCGTCGACTTGGGATCGACAGCCACCTTGACATTGTCGCCAGACTGTAAGCAAATCGAATTATTAAAGAAGCTAATCAGCAGCTAAAGGGACCTGTTGTGAGCACTCACTGGTGGGGGAGCCGTGTAGGTGTCCTGGCCGGGATCGAAACCCTTGGCGGGCAGCTCGTCACCGAAGGGTGCCTTCAGCTTGAACTTCTTGCCATCGGAGCCGGTGAGCTCGTCGGTCAGCGGGTTGAAGTCCAAGCGACCGGCGATGGACAGAGCGGTGACCAGCTCGGGACTGGTGACGAAGCAGTGGGTGGCCGGGTTGGCGTCGTTCCTGCCGGTGAAGTTGCGGTTGTACGAGGTGACAATCGTGTTCTTGTCGCCCTTCTTCACGTCCTGCCGATCCCACTGTCCGATGCACGGACCGCAGGCATTGGCCAGCACGGTGCCGCCGAACTTGTCGAACACCTCCGAGATGCCGTCGCGCTCGATGGTGGCACGGATCTGCTCCGATCCGGGCGTCACGTTGAAGGGGATCTTCGACTTGAGGCCATGGCTCATGGCGTCTTTGGCAATGCTGGCGCAGCGACCCATGTCCTCGTACGAGGAGTTGGTGCAGGAGCCAATCAGACCCACACGGATGTCCAGCGGATAGCCGTTCTTCTTCGAGTTGGCGCCCAGCTTGCTGATGGGATGGCCCAGATCGGGCGTGAAGGGTCCATTCACATGGGGCTCCAGGGTGTCCAGGTTGATTTCGATCAGTTCGTCGTACTCGCAGTTCTTATCGGCCGACAGCACCTTGCTCTGGTACTTCTGGGCCTCGGAGGCGATGCCAGCGCGTCCCGTGGACTTGAGGTAATCGGCCATGCGCTGATTGAAGGGGAACAGTGAGGTGGTGGCTCCGATCTCAGCACCCATGTTGCAGATGGTGGCCATGCCAGTGCACGAGATGGAGTCGACGCCCTTGCCATGGTACTCGATGATGGCGCCGGTGCCTCCCTTGACGGTCAGGATGTCGGCCACCTTCAGGATGACGTCCTTGGGCGAGGTCCAGCCGCTGATCTTGCCGGTCAAGTTCACGCCAATCACCTTGGGGCACTTCAGCTCCCAGGGGATGTCGGCCATCACGTCGACGGCATCGGCACCACCGACGCCGATGCATAGGCCACCCAAGCCGCCACCGTTTGGGGTGTGCGAATCAGTGCCGATCATCAGCAGGCCGGGGAAGGCGTAGTTCTCCAGGATGATCTGGTGGATGATGCCGCTGCCGGGCTTCCAGAAACCCAGTCCGTACTTGGCGCAGGTGCTGGCCAGGAAATCGTACACCTCCTTGTTCAGATCCTTGGCACGGGCCAGATCCTTGGGTCCACCGACCTGGGCCTCGATCAAATGGTCACAGTGCACCGTCGAGGGCACAGCCACCTTCTTCAGTCCCGAGGAGATGAACTGCAGCAGGGCCATCTGGGCGGTGGCATCCTGCATGGCCACGCGATCGGGACGCAGGCGCAGATAGGATGTGCCGCGCACGATGTCCTGGTTGGCCGGATCATCCAAATGCGAGTACAGCACCTTCTCGGAGAGAGTCAGTGGCCGATTGAGGCGACCGCGCACCACCTCCAGGCGCTTGTTCAGCTTCTCGTACGGCAGGAAGACGTCCGAGTCGAATTTGGACAGGGCCACCTTCGAGGCGGTGTAGCAGGAGGCGTGGAACTGGCGCACCACGGGGCCATCGGCCACCACATGCTTGCCCAGTCGGCACACCTGAAAAATTAAAAAAAAAAAGTGTTTTTTATTAATTTTTCTAATAATTTACATTTTTTAAGTTTTCCATCTACTAAATGGATATTTTCTTATTTCCCACCACTATAGTTTTTTTTTATAAAATTCAATTTAAAACGGACATTTTATTTTTTGTAGTGATTGAATAAACAAATCAAGATCTATTAATTAGCACCGTGTCAGAACATAATTTAGCAGTCATGATCACAGTAGAGACTCTCAGATTTCCCAATTTCGAGATTTTTTATCAACAGAGATTTTATTGAGTGGTGACCGTACTCATGCTAATTTGATTGATTCGATTGGTAGCGCAATAAACACTTGGATTATCATGTCAGGAGGCCTCTCAACTTTAATTAGATTGGCACAGCTTTATCAGAAAGTGTACAATTTTCAATAAGTAGTGATTTTTGTCAAAAAAAAAGTATATAAAATATACTTTCAGAGTTACACCATACTATATTCTTTCTAGTTTATTGTTGTTGATATATGTATGTATTGTTGACACTTTGTTAGCAATAGTTATTTTAAGATCTCTTATCTATAGCTGTACATTTATATGCACCTCTCTAAAAGGTGTCTCTTAATCTCGTTGTTTATTTTTGAATGACCAAAAATATTCCAAAAATATTCACAATTTAATTTTAAGGATTAATAAGTATTCATTTTGGCTGCCAAATATGAAAAGATTTTATTCTATAAAATTTTAACATTTTCATATTAAAGACCTACGATAAAAATAAAAAAAAAATCCAAAATAAACAAAAATAAGTACTATTTTTTTTTTAGAAACTAAAACTTTAAGGATAAGTCAAAAGTGAGATATTTTTGGGTGATTTTAATCGGTTTTTTATTTCGGGAAAAGCAGCTGTAAATACAGTGCATTTTGTTTATGCGCAGATAATGTCAACGTTTAGTCTTTTATTGTTACAAATCGGCGAAACGCCTAGCAATTAACGAAACACGTGACCCACACAAACAAATCGAAACAATTGCACTGGCAATTACGTCAAATAGGTCAATAACTTGTTGGCAAATACAGTGAAGCCATTGTCGACGACCCCACTTGAATGGAAATCTTCCAGGGCGCGTGATACCCGGAGTTTGAAGAGCAGACTTTATAATTAAGCAATATTAAGTCCGGTCATTATCAGGGTGTAAGTAAACCTGTCACAGATAAGACGAACCTCCCCGAAGATATATTGTATGCTATAGGGACTGGGACTCCTGGTTAAATAACTGCAGGCAGGGCGATTATATAAATGCCAAGTGGGCCAGGCCCTCGCAAATTGTTGTTAATTGCTGGATACTACCGATTTCGCATGTATCAATGCTCTATATAGTCAACCACTTTTGGATGCAGATGGGGGCGCTACAGAATCACAAACACTACGTTCTCGTCGTCGTCGGTTACCTAACAACTTTGGATTTTGTTTTTAGGTTAGAAAATGCTGTGCGAAAAATTCGCCACTTTTCAGTGTCCACATCCTGCTGAATGTGCTGAATATTGGCAATAATTTTACTTTCGCGCAGTGTTTCCAGCGGTAATTATCGCATCTTTGATTTTGCGTATTTTTTTTTGTCGCAGATTATATATATGTATTTGCGGGGTTTTATCGGATTGGCTGGAGGCACAGGGTCCGGAACAGAACGTACCTGTGCCTGGGCGCTCATCAATCTCGCAGCCATTGTTCGCGTCCTAGTTAAACGATACTAAAGTACACTCGAAACTCGATGGAACTGATATTGCAGCGGAACTTTTTAAGCCGTCAAAATTTTCAGCCCTCTCAGCCGGAAGATTTCAACACAGACTAACTTCTTTCGCACGGCGACCAGTGTTCGTGGGCGTCGCGATTGAGCGCCAGTGATGCCATTTTGACTAGGTTACCGCTAGATCTGCCTGCACTGCGAAAACATATAGATATAGATTCAAAACGCAATGCTTAAACAAACGTTTCAATTTTCAATTAATTATTTATTTCTTTAATATAATTTGAGGACAAGTAAATGCCAAATTAGATCGTTGATAATTAGAGCTAGTTACGGATAAACATAACATTATGGCCCTAATCTCAGATGTTATCAGAGCCTTTCGTATATTCGTGTGGTTAATCGCCTTAGTGCAACGCGCAGATCAGGAGTACATACATAAAAGGTAAATTCTATCTATATTCGCTAGTTATTAACCATCAGCACTGGTTAACCTCTTATCGCTATTCAACACTGTTTCGTTTGCTTGCGGGGGCGGGCGACTATTTCCCACAACTGTGCGAATAATAAATAAGTTCGGTTGGGAAAATGTTTGGCAATGGCCAGTCAGCATTAGTCCTGACCCCTTCGCCATGTCCGATCGTCGAGGAGTGCACGAGATACCCGGTGAATACCAGCCAGTGCCCAGGGCGCAGGACGAGGCGACTCCAACGACCACATCCTGCTGTCGGCGTCCCGATTGCAATTTTCGGCTCCAGGATGAGCGTAAAGTTTGCTGCCGCAGCCACGGCTACATCATACCCGTGTTCATACTCTTCGTCCTGGTGCTGATTGTCCTGCTGTTGCCTTGGGAGACCTTCCACCCAAATGCGAACGCAAACAGCCCCGTTCCCGTGGACAGTCCGTTGCCATGCCAACTCGAACTGGTGGAGAGTCTGCCCGTGGGGTTGAACTATAGCCAAGGGGACAGTCACCCCCAATTGAAGAGCACCTTTCAGTCCTGGCAGCTGCTGCTGGGTCGGGCTAGGACCTCTGTGGACATTGTCTCGCCGCACTGGACTCTGCGCGGGGTGGACATCAACGACAGCAGCACTGGGCCGGGAGATCACCTCTTTCAGCGCCTCCTGTCCAACGGAGATGCAGGCAGACCCAAGCTGCGTCTTCGAATTGTGCTGAATCGCAGCCAGGACAGCTTATGGCATGCCGACGGCCGCATCCTGGCCAACTACGGAGCGGCCGAAGTCGTGGGCATCAATTTCCTACACTCCAAACTCTGGCTGGTGGATGGGGAGCACTTCTACCTGGGCAGTGCCAGCATGGACTGGCGATCGCTCACCCAACGCAAGGAACTGGGTGTACTGGCCACGAATTGTCCACATCTGGCCCAAGATCTGGCCAAGATCTTCAAGGCCTATTGGTTCCTGGGCAACAATGAAGTGCCGGAATACTGGCCATGGATCTACCACACGCACATCAATCAGGGAAGACCGCTCTTGCTAAACATAAACAAAAACCACACCATGCGGAGCTTTTTGGCCATTTCACCACCTGGACTGGCGACCACTGGAAGGAGCCACGAACTGGATTCCATTGTAGAGACCATCGATAAGGCCACCGAGTTTATAAGCATCGCTCTGATGGATTACTCTCCCCAGCTGCGGCGCAGTGACAAGCTGCAGTACTGGCCATTTATTGACAATGCTCTGCGCAGAGCATCCTTAGAGCGGAATGTGGCTATTAAGTTGCTAGTTTCCTGGTGGAAATACTCGGATCCCAGCGAAGATCACTTCTTGAGATCTCTGCAGGCGCTGAACAAGATGCGGGAGGAAGTGGATATAGAAATTGTAAGGACTACTGTTAATATTATAAAAGATATGAAATTTTCTTAATAGTCTACACATTTTTCAGCGCCGCTTTGTGGTGCCCACCACGGACGAGCTGGAGAGGATTTCCGGTGGAAGAGTTAGCTGCAATTCCTACATGGTCACCGAAAGCGTTGCCTTCATAGGCACCTCCAGCTGGTCGGGGGAGCATTTCACTTACTCAGCTGGCATTGGACTGGTTCTCCAGGACATGGACTACAACAACAACAGCCTGCGTACCGACTTGTTGGCCATTTTCCAGCGGGATTGGTTTGGTCCTTATGCGCTGCCTTTGAAACCCAATTTAAGAATTTGAATTTAGCTTTCATCACCACCGGCACTTTTCAACACTGCCCAACAACCATCAGCTGTTCATGTCATAACAAACGTCAGACCTAACCTCAAATCTCTCAATGCTAAAATAAGTTGAAATTTCCTGCCACTCAAATAAAAATAAAAGCAAATACAAAAAAAACATGGCTAACAAGCCGACACGCGATGTGATCGGTATAATTTTCCAAAACTTTTGGAAGTCCCTGCGGCCGCGTCAGTTTCGTGGGGATTACATTGGGGAGGACTATTTCGGCAATAAGTACTACGAGATCCCGGCGAACCCTTCGATTGGCAAAAGGAAACCATCGCGTTGGTTTGAGCCGGCTGACAAGGATGCCTTCGACCAGGAGCTAACAGCCGAGTGGGAGGCGTGGCTGCGTGGGCGTCGCGAGGAACCACCCACCCGCGAGGAGCTGGTCAAGAACCTGCAGATCATGGACATGAAGAAGCGGAATGCCGCCGAACTGGAGGCCACCTACGCCAAGGGCAAGGACGACAAGGCGCTGCCCAAGCAGGTGGAGGGACCCACCATCGGAACCTTCCCGAAGTACAAGGAGTACGAGTTTATACCCGGCAAGGAGCCGCCAGAGAAGTGATATATGTCTTGGTATTTTATAAGAATTTATTGCGTAAATATAGTTAAATGATCTTAAATGTTCTACCAATCGTTTAAGTCCAAGTCCTTAACTATATCCACGGCTCCGCCAGCCTCGTCATAATCATCTTCCGCTGCTGTTGGTTGGGGTTTCAGTTTCTCGGGTTTCTCCTTCCTGGCCTTCTTGGCTTTTGGTTGTTCCACTTCCTCCTCCTCGACCACTTGCTCCTCTTCATCTTCATCTGACCCTAATGCCAGGCCATCATCGCCTTCATCTTCCGAGTCCGAGGGGAACAGCTCGATCTCTCCATTCTCATTCCTCACAGGCACTCCCGATTTGGCCGGCAGTTTCTTCAACTTGGGCACATCGTAGTCGGCATTGATTTCATCCGTCTGCGCCGCCTGTCGTCGCTTCTTGGTCTCGTGCGTCTTCAGCCAGCTGGCGTAGTAAATGTCCAGGGGCGTGCGCTTCAGGCGGAGCTGCTGTTCCCAGGCTGCCACCGCTTGGGCATCCTTTATGTCAAAGTTAACGCTGCTCTTGCCGCGCTGTTGCTCTATGAAGCGACCGCTCTCCTGAATCTTCTCAAGAACCTGTTTCAGCTTGCGCGTGTAGTTCGCATTCCGGCAATCCTTAAGATAGGCTTTAATGGCCATCACAGTGGGCACCACCAAGTCGCTGAATGCCAACGAGGTGGACTCATGAGCGAGATATTCCAGCAGCAGACCACACACCTGCTCGATCACCTCATCCCTGAAGCCATTTTCCGCCAGCTGTCCCTTGTTGAGCCTCAGCACGCAGGTGAACTGCAGCGGCTTCATCGACACTGCCGAGTGCTTACGATTGAAGGTGTTGCTCTTCAGGACCTCCACAATCAGCGGCAGCACAGGAATATATGTATTTGTCTCCTTGGCCAGCGAAATGAGCGTCTGCAGACAGTGGAATCGCAGCGGGAAGTACTGAGCGGTGGGTATCAAGCGGATCACACCGGTGGCAATGGTGACAAGAGGATAAACCAGCGGCTGCAACTGCGGTTTGTTTGCACTCGCGCCCAGAAGATCCGCCCACAGGCGCATGGAGTTGATAAACTGCCAATTGTACACGGCCTGGAAGCTGTCCTTCTTCTTCAGGATCACTGCATTTCGCAGGTGAATGGCCAACTGCCGAATGTAGAGGAAGGCGTGCTGGTAGCTCACGTTCAGATCCAAGGCGAACATCTCCACCAGCGATCGGCGCATGAAGTTGATTCCGGGCAGAGTGTTGGGGGACACGAATTTGGAGTTGCGCACGTATGCCAGGTACATGGCTTTCAGAACGTGATTTAACATGGTGGCCTGCAAGATAATGTTATGGAATAAGTAAAATGTATTATAAGCTTGCTTACTTCTTAGTTACCTGCTGTTTCCTGGTGATCTTCAGGATGCAGAGAAAGGCCAGCACTCGGACGGTCTCATCTCCAGTGGCCCAGAGCACAATCAGGCGCTTCAGGATGGTCTTACCCAGCGCTGAGAAGGGCACCACCATGCCGGCCATTTGATGCAGATGCTTGAGCAGCACCCCCAGGATATTGGCACTGGATACCTGCTCCACCAGACGGATCAGATCGGTGAGGTAGTATCGCAGGCAGCCGCGCACCTTGACCCACTTCTTGTGCTTGTGCAGCGGCAGACTGCTGTTGGGCTTCACGCCCAGCACTCGGATGATGGCGGGCTGCAGGTGGAGCACACACAGCTGGATGACTCCATTAAAAGCGGCTGCTCCGACCACCTTGAAGGCAGCTGCATTGGGCTGGTTCTCGCCGCCATCAGCTCCATCGGCCGAGATGCTGGCCAGGGCTGAGTTGAAGGCCTGGATCACCTTGCGCACAATGTCGATGGAGACGTTGTCCTGGCCCAACTGCTGCTCCCACTGACGCAACAGGTTGAGAGTGATCTTCTGGGTGCCTCCAGCGGGGGATTCGTCGTCCTCTTCCTCATCGTCGAAGTCGCTTTCATCACTGGCCACGGCCAAGTCCTCGCTGGGTTTGTGATACTTCTCTTCGTTATCCTCGTCGTCGTCTTCGCTTTCTTCAGCCGCCTTCTTGCCTTTGTCTTCCTCCTTCTCCTCATCTTCACTCTCATCGCTGTCCAGCAGATTGAAGTCCAGCAGCTTCTTGTCATTCTTCTTGAGGAAATCGTAGAATTCCGGATCTATATCCTTGAGTCCTTCCAGCTCCTCCTTGTGTGATTTTTTGGCTCCCTTCTTTGCAGGCTTTCCAGATTTCACTGGAGCAGTGGTCTTCTGCTTCGGTTTCGTGGTGACAGCCTTGGATTCTGAGGGCTTTTCTGCCTTCTTGGTCTTCGGCTTTTTGATGGCATCCTTTGCGGGCTTATTTTTTTTGATCCCGGGCTTTGTTTTGCCCAGGGTTTTAACTTTTTTGGAAGCCAACTTCATTTTAACACGAGCAAACTAAAACAAAATCGCACGTGTGCCGCTCAACAGGGTTGCCGGATCGCAGAGCAGGCGGTGTTGCCATCGCGTTGAAAATGGGAAATGTATATTTACCTTTAAATAAAGCTAAAAAAATGACAAAAATAAAGTTAAAAGTTTGATATATAATATATGTTTGAAGAAACTTAGCTCAAGTAATTATTATAAGATAAGAAAATTGTGACTAAATTAAGCAATAAATAAATAAACGCAAAGGCTGCAAATCAACCAAAGAAAACCAGGTTTATATTGTTACAAATTGTTAAAAAAATTTTTTTTTAATATACTTTTCATTTCCCAGAAGGAGTCACTTTCTACAATATTTAAACGTAGAAATAGAAATTAAAAATATAAATATTTTGTAAGAGTAGTTAGTAGGCATAAGCTTATAGCCATTATAGCCAAAAAAAAAATCGCCAAATTGCCAGCAATATTGGCGGTTTTTGCAAGAGTTGTTGTTGGCGACTCGGTAAGTCGCAGGCGAAATTTTTACTTGTCAATTGCAGTTGCAATTGGCAATTGCACTTGCTTTGCTCATCGGAACAAGGGGCGCCGGTGGAAAATGGCACGCAAGAGCCACATGTACAACGCAGTACCCGCAGGCCTGGAGTCGGACGAGGAAGAGATGGAGAACCTGATGGCCAACCTGAAGATAAAGCGCCTGGACGATATCACAACAGGTGCTGGGCTCAACGGTCGCAACTTTGATGCCACTTTGGATGCGGATACGGAGGAGTTCTTCAAGTTGTTTCGCGAGAAGTGGAACATGTACAGCAAGAAAAAATCGCCGCATCTGCGTCAGGAATTCGGAAAGGCCCTAATGGGCCACCAGGAGCCCCTGCTGCTGGCCCTCAAGATCTTCGCCAATTGCCCGGACAGCAGCAACATCAAACCGAAGAGCTTGTCACACTTTGTGCTGGACACGGTGTGCAAGCTCCACGAGGAGTTCCCGCATCTCGGCGAGGGCTGTGAGCCGAACACCAGCATGATAGCCTTTAACTTCGTCAAGACCTCCGGCTTGCTGGCCCTCAACAATGCTGTGATCTATGCCTACGGTCTGCGCGAAGTCCGAGATCTTCTGTTGCCAAAGCTGCGCGAGCTCCTGGACGACGGCCACTACAAGGAGGTCACCCAGTGGTCCATCAGCCTGAAGCTGACGCACGAGTTCGACATGCTGGAGCTGGCCTTTCCGCTGATTGCCATTGAGAAACTTCCGCTGGCCGAGGAGTATCTGGACCATGCCACACAGCAGCGCCTGCCTTTCGTCAAGTTCTTGGACTCCCTTCTGCACAAGGAGAAGCCGGTCATACAACTCTGCGAGCATCTGCTGGGGTGAGCTTAATCCAGATTAATCTTTAACTTGTTTAACTCTATACTATATCGTTTTAGGCGCTACAAGAACTTGAAAATCTCCCACCACGTACTCAGTTATAGGCCCATTGCCAAGATCGTGGCGCGACTGGCCAAAAAGTACGGTTTCGATGATGCAGTCACGCCCAACTACAAGTTCACCAAGACGTGCAGCTACCTGCACTACCTGTACCGCGAGTACGAGAAGGCGCGCATCAACCTGGCAAGTTTCCGGGAGCTGGTGAGTGTCCATGCCTATGACTACGCCCTGCGCAAGGACTTTGTGAGCTATATTGCGTCGGCAGGAGCCCATTCGGAGGCCATCTTCTGGTACAAGGAGTTCAATCTCCAACCAAACGATTGTCCGCCGGAGATCAAGACGCAGGTCTCGCAAAACGGTGCTGGGAAAGCGGCAGGCCGGGAATCCGGCAGCCAGGAAGCCATTGGCGCGGCGAGTGGCTTTGATATGTACCTGACCATGGACCTGCCCGACGAGTGCCTTATAATTGTGGACAAAGCGGCACAGTTCGATCGCATGCTGAGCCATTTGCAGCAGGAGCACATCATCTACCTGGACTCGGAGTGGATACAAAACGTGTACGGAGATAGCCAACTGTGCGTCCTGCAGATCGCCACCGGCCACAATGTCTATCTGATCGATTGTCTGGCGAGGGAGAGTCTGCGATCAGAGCACTGGCGGCTGCTTGGAGCGAACATCTTTAACAATGTGAACATCCTCAAGGTGGGCTTCTCCATGGTCAGCGATCTTAGCGTACTACAGCGTTCGCTGCCGCTGCAGCTGCGCCTGCAAATGCCTAACCACTACCTGGATCTGCGTAATCTCTGGCTCGAGCTGAAGAAACAGCGTTTCGGCGTTGAGCTTCCCTACGGCAATGTGAACCGGACCGGGGACGCTCTCACGGATCTCTCATTCGCGTGTCTCGGCAAGAAGCTGAACAAGTCGAACCAGTGCTCAAATTGGGCCAATCGACCGCTGCGCCGCGAGCAGATTCTCTATGCAGGTGAGTGTTGAGGACTGTCTTTCTTAAATCGAGCCATTCTAATATAGTTTCCTTACCAGCCATCGATGCTCGCTGTCTGCTGTTAATTTACAATACGCTCCTGGCCCGCGTTCCCTCCATTCACGTGGCAATTGAAAAGAGCATTGCTAGCAATAACTTCCTCAGACGCGGCGCCAACATAAAGTGATGGAGATGAACACCCCTCAGATGGATACCGATTCTCACGTAGACGACGACAAAGGCGTTTGCCCAACCTAAACTTAGTTCAAAAGTTAAAGTTGAAAAGAGTATTTAACGTATATTTAGTGACTAGCAGGCAGCTTGGTTAAATGCAGTTTAGACACACATGTCACAAATGAGAAGCGAAACATGTGTACATGCTGCATAACGAAGACGAAATAATGAATTTGATTACTATATATTTTTTTTGCTCACCTGTACATACGTTATACACTTACATTATTCCACTTCACAGAGTACATGTATTATTTTGTATTTTCTGTTATGGCCGTGAAACGAGCCTTTTATTTACCCTCACGCATAATCAAAAATGAATAAAAGCAATGAATAGGATTGAACAACTTGTAGAAATCGTGAATATTTTAAAATAACATTGGGATCAGATTAAAATTGTAAGAATAAAATAACGACATGGAGTGCTTACTTCAGCGGAGTTGCGTATTTGCTATTCCAGTCCCGCTCGAAGACGTTGCGCAGATCGCTCCTCAGGGTCTTTGTGGACTCTGTCTCATAGGTCTCGCTTAGCACCAGGCCAATGCCGGCGGTGTCGGTGAAGTAGTCGCCACTCCAGTTGGAGGTGCCTATGTAGGCCACTCGGTCGGTGACCATGTACTTGTTGTGATTCACCCGGCCAAAGGGAATCTTCTCCTGGTTCGCATCTGCGGGCACAATGAAGCGACGCTGGCGCAGAGTAGAAACGGAGATTAGTTTTTGTTGAATTAAAAATAAGAAAATCCTTTAAAACTAAAAAAAAAATGTTAAATTTTTGTGAAAATATTAAACATGTTTTTTGACTTCAGAACGGCAACAATATAATCATTAATAAAATAAGAATAAGATTCTCTGAGTTTATAACGATTGATATAGAATAATTGTTCCCTTTCTGTACTCACAATTTGTATATCAATATTGTCTTCTTTGGAGGCCAGATCCTGCAGCGACCTGAGGTACCTGTCCTCGCTGGGATTGGAGTGCTTCCACCAGGAAATGAGCAGCTTCACCGCCACGCCGCGCCCCACAGCTGCCCGACGCAGTGCATCGTCGATGAACGGCCAGTACTTATGGTTTTTCTCGTAAATAATCAGAGGATAATAATCCATAACTGCAATGTTCACGTAAGTAATGGCCGAGTTGATGGTGTTGAGGATGGCGTCCAGGTCGTTGGTTCGTCCCTTGGCCGCAAGAGGTGGCGGTGAACTGGACAGAAAGCCATCCATACTAATGTTCTTGTTCACTTTGAGCTGCATAGGCCGTTGCCAATTGAATTCCGTTTCGTAAGTGTAGTCCCATTTGGGAACCTCGGAATCCTTGCTGTTGCCCAGATACCAATACTCCTCAAAAATCTTGCTCACGTCTTGTGTTAGTTGTTGACAGTTCTGGACGAGCACGCCCATCTCCTTGACCTGCGTGAGTGCCCGCCAATCCATGTTGGCGCTGCCCAGGTAAAAGTGCTGATCGTCCACCACCCACAGCTTGGTGTGGAGGACTCCGCTGCCAAAGTACTTGGGAAACGATAAGGTCACTACTTCTGCAGCTCCGGCACTCGCCAACAGCTTTGTGTCCAAATTGGGTGATACACTGGATGGTTCACTTTGGGCAATACGTATCTTGATCCTAGGTGTCTGACTGCCACCGTTCCCGTTGGCCAGCAGTCTGGCGAAGATCTCCTCCCCCGGCTGCGTGCTGTTATCCGTTTCTCCGGGCGTGTCCTCGGCCTTGAGTGTCCAATAGAAGGAAGCTATGTCCAGCTTGGTTTTGGCGCTGTCCAACAACTGCAGCCAGGCCTCGTGGGTGCTCAGGAACTTCGCACTGCCATCGGGATATGTCAGGCCAATGGGTATAGACTCCACCAGCTGGATGTCGCAGTCTTGCCTCTGCAAGACTCCGTGACCCCTGCCCCCACTATAGTTGTGGAGTCGGGGGCGAGGCTTAAAACAGGATTAATAGTCGTTTATATAATAGAAACGTATTAATGGCTATAATAGATTACCTGGAAATATGAGCTACCTAGGAAAAGGAGCATGAACAAGGACACCGTCACCATTTGGGCCGCCTGCTGATTCGCAGCCGGCCGTTCTTGCTCCTGGTTGTGCTGGCCATTGGCCTGTCCATTCTCCACATCCGTCTCCTGGTTTTCGAGCTTTTTGTATTCCGTCATGTCGACAAAACCACAAGATCCGCGATTAGCCACAAAGGCTACTGTTATCTTTATCGATATGCGAGCCGACTGATTGCGGTTCTCACTCGAATTAGCAAAGTGAAGAATGATAAAGAACTAACGATCGGAACTGTTGTGTTCCCCAAAACTTCAGAGAGAGTGGTTCATTCCAGTGGTTCTTCTCTCAATGTTTGCTTAATTCCATTATTTACTTTTCAGGGGTGGAGGCGAAAGGGTTAAGAGAACGTCCCAAGGGGAAGAATTTATTAGTTTAGGTATTGCAAAATATGTATTTTTTCTTATCATAGAAAGTGATGGCTCCTTATTTCAATTTCTTGTAATTGTATATAATTAAGAATTTATTTTATTAAAATATCTACATAAATTTGTTTAAATAAAAACTAACATATAAAATCCATGTTGATTGGCCATTTTATTATTGTAACAAATTTTGTGCATTACTATTTTTATATCGTGACCCCTCAAGAGCTTTTGACTACGCCCCTGCCTTCAAAAGTTGCAGCTAAACAAAGTCAGCTGTTTTTGTCAAAGTTTGTTGTTGCTCTCAAAAATGCTGCGAAACTCGCTATTTGCAACCGGGTAATTGAAAAAAACTGCAATAATTTATCAAATTACACACTTTGGCATTCTAGAAAGCTGAGACAATCGCTGGCATGTGTTCTGCTGCGAAATTCGACCAGAAGCAGCAGCACAGCGACGCCACTGGATGCCGGCACCCAGAAGGAAGTGAGGCACCATGAAAATCATGCCTCCGAGTGGTGGAATCAAAACGGAACCATGGGCGCTCTGCATGCCCTGAACGAGATTAGGTAAGACATCCGATTCTTAGGTAATTTTTAAGTATTAATAAAGTGCGATTTTCCCAATTTCAGGGTTCCCTTCATCAGAGATGGCATCGTTTCGCGCGGCACAGTGAAGCCTGGTTACGTAAATACCACCAAAGTGCTCAAGGGGCAGAAAATTCTGGAGGTCGGTTGCGGTGGGGGGCTGCTCACGGAGCAACTGGCGCGTCTGGGCGCCCAGGTCACAGGCATAGATCTCGGCGAGAAGTTAATAGAGGCCGCTCGGGATCACCTTAAGTGCTCCAGTCCGGAGTTGTCCAGCAATGTGCTGTACAAAATGGAGCCCGTGGACCAGCATGCCAAGGCCAATTGTGAAGTTTACGATGCAGTGATAGTGTCCGAAGTGCTGGAGCATGTGGACGATAAAGTGAGCCTGCTGGAGGCCAGTGTGCGAACCCTGAAGCCAGGAGGATCCATTTTTATCACCACCCTGAACAAAACCATACCCAGCTGGTTCGGAGGCGTAATCCTGAGCGAGTACGTGCTGAATCTGGTGCCCAAGGGAACGCATCATTGGGACAAGATGATATCGCCACTGGATGTCCAGCGTATTTTGGATACAAGTAGGTTATTTAGTTACCTATAGATAAGGATGACTAATAGCCATTTTTATCATTGCAGTGAATTGTCAGACGGTGCTGGTGAATGGAAGCACCTACGACTTTTGGAGCAACACCTGGCGCTGGATCAACAACACCCAGATGTGCTACGCCCTGCAGGCGGTGAAACAACCACTAAGAGAATCCAATTGAATTCGTATATTTTATTTTACTATTAGCTAGGTCAGTGTGTAACAACTAAGGAGTAAACTAATCGTCATCCGAGCGTGGTTTCTTGAATTGCTGCTTCTTTTTGGGATGCTTATTCCCACTCTCGTCGCCATTCTGCTTCCTTTTGAAGTCCTTCTTGGTGCTGAACTTTTTGCCCATGCTGCCGCTCACCGTGGGCGCCTTGTTGGCGTAGTAGGCCTTGACCATGTCCTGGTCGGACACTTCCTTGGGCTGCTCCGGCTTCGTGCGGCCCTGTTTCTCCGCCAGCTCCTGTTCCATTAGCAGCTCCAGTTCCGGATTCATGCCCCGGAAACTAAGGCGTCCGTCGACCAGGCCAGCGCATATAGAGTAACTAGATTCCACCAAGAAGTTCGAGCTGGAATTGAGCATCTTCTGGTTGATCTCATTGGAGTACAGTGCTCGACTTTGCTCATCGTCCGCCTCCTTTTCCACTTTAACCTTGGTGCGCTGCATGAACTTCATGTCCAGGACACCACGCGACAGTCGCGGTTTTGATTTGGATGGCATGTTCCCGGTGTATTGTTTTTAACTTTTTACCTTGAAAATAAGGTTGAACTCCAGCACGTTGATTTTTTATAAAGCAGTATAAGGGAACAAAACAAAAGGGGCAAAAATGGCAGTGTTGCAAAGCGCCGTTGGCTGGCTAAGAAAACGTGGCGCGCCCATGTTTATGCGATATTTAAAAAAGCAATTGAAATTTCTATTAATAAAGCCACAATAAAACCTTTTTTAAATGATATTCTTGCCATTTAAAATATATTAAAAGATGCAGAATTCAAAGATTTGTAAAAATGTTGTACCAATTATTAACAAAAACCTTAAACATTTAGGACACCGAAACCGATTTAATGAGTAAATTAAATTATATTCATATACATTCAATTCAATTTAAGTAGAGGAACTTAATCCCAGTATATCCCAGGATTACCGACATTTTCTGAAATATCCAATTGGGAAGTTAACCGTATCCCTTAAAACCAATTCTGTTCAAAGAGAATCCTTCAAACTAACAAAGATGCAGTATGGGACCGAAATCGAAATAGAACAATAAAACTGCACTTGGTAATAAAATAAAATAAGAGCAGCAGTAAATAAAGAATTCCATTTTGTCCAGTTCAAAACCAAGGGGTAGTACTGCAAAGTGCGCGCATATCGATTAATCAACCAACTATCGCCCAAAGGCGCGTCGCTTTGCCACACTGTGCACTACGAATGAGAAGAGAATAGAAAAAAGTGACATAAATGGCGGAAAGCAAACCTAGCGCCAACATTCGTATTTTCATTTAATTTTCGCTCCAAAGCACAATTTATTCACTGTTTTCGGCAAGTGCATATCAAGTGCAGGCACACAAAGAGTTACCAGAACGGGAAAAGAGTAATCGAATCGATTGCGGACCATGTACAAGCGAAAAACAGCGAGTATTGTTAAAAGAGACAGCAGCTCCGCAGCGGGCACCTCCTCCTCAAAGATGATGATGATGGGCAACGCTGGCAACGTGGTGGAACCGGACGAATCTTCGGCCCAGTCCAAGGCATACGAGGCGGTATCCGTCAGCATGGACACATCGCCGGATCCGCCCACACCGATCAAGTCCCCGTCACTAATGCAGCCACTGCCGGGACAACAGCGCTCCGTAGGCTCACTGGTCTTGCTCACCCAAAAGTTTGTGGAACTCATGAAGGCTAACGGCGGTTCCATCGATCTGAAAGCGGTACGTTCCGGGTGCACCTGTCTTGATTACTCCTTAAACCAGTCTTTTGTTTCCGCCCTTAGGCCACCAAAATCTTGGACGTGCAGAAGCGCAGAATATACGATATCACCAATGTTCTGGAGGGCATTGGACTAATAGATAAGGGCAGGCACTGCTCCCTAGTGCGCTGGCGGTAGGTGGTCATTTGCATTTTGGGGCAAACTCAGAAAAGAGTGGGTTAAAATACAGCAATTACTGTACAAAGAGGTGGTATTTTTTTTAAATTTCTTATTAATGGGTGGAAACAGACAGGCAAACTTGAATTAGAATATATCTTTAAATAGTTAAAGTAAAAATTGTTTGGAATAATTACAAAATGGTTAAATTGATGACTTCTAGCTCAAAATTTTAAAGTATACAATTTCTGCAAAATATGTTTAGACATGTATTTATTAATTTAAACCTTCATTTTTATTAGCGGAGGGGGTTTTAACAATGAAAAAGACCAGGAAGACTACGACTTAGCACGAAGCAGGACCAATCAGCTGAAAATGCAGGAGGACGACCTGGACAAGCAACTGGAGTACGCACAGCGCAATTTGCGCTACGTAATGCAGGATCCCTCTAATCGCTCGTATGCCTATGTGACACGAGACGACTTGCTGGACATATTTGGAGATGATTCCGTATTCACCATACCGAACTATGACGAGGAAGTAGATATCAAACGTAATCATGTGCGTAAGACTGCCTATTATTTCTTATATGATATATTTTGATAGATAAACCTTTACGCGTTTTCTAATTTTATGTCTAAAACCTTATCTTGCAATATTAGGACTTATATTGATTTAACTGACCTCCTTTCTATTCGTAAATATTATCATAAGATGTGAATTATTATTAAGACCTTTATTTTTTTGCAGTACGAACTCAACGTATCGCTGGATAATGGCAGCACAATCGACATTTGCCTGGTCACGAACCAGGGCAAGAGCACCACAAATCCGCACGACGCGGACGGATTTTTCGACTATCGCCGCCTGGACACGCCCTCGCCCTCGACATCGTCGCACTCCAGCGAGGATGGTAACGCTCCAGGAGGCACGGGGAACGTGGTCACCGACGAGCACGGCTACTCTTGCAATCCCGATATGAAGGAGGAGATGAAGCTCCTAGAGAACGAGCTGACGGCAAAGATCATCTTTCAAAATTACCTGTCCGGCCACTCGCTGCGGCGTTTCTATCCCGATGATCCCAATTTAGGTTGGCGTTTTCTTGCAATTCTCAAAGTGCTTCTCACTAACTTGTTTTCGCCCCCTTTCTGTATGCAGAAAACCCGCCGTTGGTGCAGCTGAATCCACCCCAAGAAGACTTCAACTTTGCGTTAAAAAGCGACGAAGGCATCTGTGAGCTGTTCGACGTACAGTGCTCCTAACTGCGGGACGGAATTTACACCTTACGACTGTAGCTACACTGCAACTGGCCGCGTGCGTTGTGCAAATATTTATGATTAGTACAATTCTGACTTTTGGTTTCTCTATATCGTCTAGAAATTTTAATTAGTTTAATACCCTGTAATTTCGCCACACTAACAGCAAAACCAATAAATTCGAAAACGCACACAATGTAGCGTGTGTGTTTGTTTATACATTTTAAACTTAACTCGATGCGATACAGAGAAATTTAACTTTAACTGGTGGATGGGGCAGTAGTTTTTTGTAAGGAAAAACTAAAATGAATAATGGGGTTTTATGACTATCTTTCCAAGTATACGCAAATACATTCCAAGTGACGAGATTTTTTGTTAATTTAAACATAAATTGTTTTTAAAATTGAAATTCTTTTTTAACTTTTGAAAATAGAAGATCAATATACTCTAAATGTTAAACGTCGAATCACAATTGGTTTGGAAAACAAATTTAACCAAAAAATTAAAATCAATTAATAAAACAAATATACAATATGCAAAAGTACCTAGTCATTAAAAAAATAAAGAGGTGCAAGAACTTTTAATAGAACCGTTTCAGAGCCCAAGCCATTTTTAGTATTTAGTAAGCGACCAGTTGAACGCTTGGTCACACTGAAAAGAACCGCAAACTTGCAAACGCGTGTCCATCGCAATGAAACTTCTAGTGAATCGTTAAAAACCGAAAATACAATGAAGGTGCGGGACAAAAGGTCCTGCTGGCAGCAGATTTTGACCATATTGCACACCGATTCGTTTCCACCGGCGGAATGGGAAGAGATTTATAAACATTTCCTTGAAAGCTTTGACAATCCGTACTGCATCCGAAGCAATATTGTAAGCATTTTTGTTTGTTGTGGGCAGGAAATACGATTTTAATAGTTGTTATTTCATTAACAGAATCCTTATTTGCCGCTTAGGAACCAATTCCTGGTTCGACCCACGGAAATCCTTCCGAAACCGGTGGCCCCAGGTCCGAAGACTTCACTATTCCTCCCACCCGCCAATTCCGTTAAGCGTCAGGACGCCAATGCTCTTAATCCCAACGGCCGTCGGAAATCCATAGTGTATTCTGCTCCAACTAAAAATCCTAATGTTCCTGCTAAAGATCGAAGAGCTTCAAGGAGTTCCACTGCTAGTTCCAAGCATCAGCATCCCTCCGAATCGCAAGATGTTTCCGCCTGGAAGCCTAATAAACGACGAGAGTCCAGTGCAAGTGCCTCCACATCTAAGTCCACTCAGTCTTTCTTGAATTCCATTGAGCGCCGAAATACATGTGCCGTAGATGCTCCCATCTTTACTCCAATCGGGCGGCGAGATTCATGTGCATCCCAATATGACCCTATCTGTAATCCCATCAAGCAGAGGGATTCGTGTGCCTCCAGAGATGAACATTACTTGAACTCCACAAATTCATGCGATTCAGGTGCTTTCCAGGCGCCCAAGCGTCGAAATTCATGTTTTCCTACACATGGTCCAGCCGTTGCCCTTACTAAGCAAAGAGATTCAGCTAGCTTCAACAAGCGTCGTAATACATGTACTTTCACACACAACCCACAATTCACAATACCCAATCCTGTCGAGGTACGCGAATCACTGGTCAATCCTGTTAAGCAGCCCAAGAATTCTTCTCAGCCCAAGCCTAAAAATGCCTTGCCACAGTCCAAGCTTCAAAATGGTTTGCCAAAGCCCAGGAACAGTTTACAGCTTTCGGAGGCATCAAGCGACGACTTAGATGAACATATCCCGCTCTCCCAATTGTTTAAGGCTAAAGTTAATAAACCAAAACCCGTAGCACTAGATGTTCCTGCCGAACATTTCATACCTGATCCTCCGCCAATAAAGCGCAAAAGAGGACGTCCCTCGCTCCACGAGAAAGCGCAGCAGCTGGCCCGACTGGAGGCGGAGCAGGCGCTTAGGGAGCCTAGTTTGATAAACCAGCGACGGCCATCCCAATACGAAAAGCAAAAGACGCAGACCAAACCACTGCAGAAAGCAGCGCAAAAGCAATTCAAAGGGATACAGGAGGAATTTAAAGCGCCAACGCAGCAAAATGCATCGCCACAATTACTGCAGAAAACGCCGCCGATACACGTTAAGACAACGACGCACGAGAAGACCATTCAGAACCCGCAAAACTTGCCAAAATCATCTGGAAAGCAGCCCGGAAAATCTCGACTTCAGGGGACCAAGCCAAACGCCTACAACTCACCGCCTCCCAAGAAAAGGACCATAGCAAACGTTGGCATAAAAGCAGTAAGCAGTTACATGGACTTTACATTACTTAATAAGTTCCTTTTGTTGCCACAGATAAGCTCCGAAACACTGCCGATGCCAGCCCACATGCCACCGACTCCGATCAATTTGAAATGCTCAGTTAAAGACGATCGGCCGAGGAAGAACGTAAGTCGAAAGAACAGTCAGTCGAACAGAAGGCACAGCCATCTCGACGAGCACAACTATAATAAGTCTAGCTTCGGCTGTAAGCCCCAGAGACGGAAGCTCTATATGCCCGACAAAAGTGACACCACCATCGGAGATCAGCTGGTGGACGACGCCATGGAGCTGACCAGTCCCGTGGGCGGCGGCGAGGCCAGCGCCGATGGATTCCGCCCAAAGGACGATAATGACGTGGCCCATGAAATTGAACTATTTGACACGCCGATGGATCTGTTTCGCGAGGGAGAGGAGATCGAGCGCTGTCTGGAGAACTTCAGCAATAAAACGCCCAGCGAGATCGACCATCAGCTGGCCAACACCACGGAGTTCTTCGAGAAGCTGCCGAATCTGTCCGCGACGGAGGAAAATAAGTCCGATTTGGTGGGCATCTTCATGGGCGAACATGAAGAATTGGACTACGAGGAGGACGACGACGACGATGTGCTCTCGGTGGCTGCCTCTTGGGATGGACTCGAGGACGAGATTATACCTGAGCCCAAACCAAATGAAAATCTAAAGGCCACAGCGACTTTACCTGAGCTTAAACCGATAGAGCAACCGAGAGCTGTGGAGCAGAACCTCAAATCAGGTTTGAAGTCTCTTGAGGCAGTTGTCGACCCAAAAGTGCCAAAAGTGCCGCACACAAAGCCGTTTCGGATACCCAAGTTAAACGCAGAAGAACTCAAGACACAACCGTCCGTGATGCGATCCCTCTACGAGCAGGAGGAGTTGGATAAGAAAAAAAAGACTCCAGTGCCAGCGCCATCGATTGATCTCCCGGTAGCTGCATCCAGTTACAAAGAGCGGGAAGAGGCAACAGCTGCTCGACGGTCCAAAGAGTCAGTGCCGGTGTTTGCACCACCTTATCGAGTGCCATCCCAAGCAGTTCCCATGGTCAGTGCCAGCATTCAGCCATGCATGCCTGAGTTCGCGCCCAAACAACAGGACAATTCCTGGATAAGAGTCGTGTTTGGTGTCCAGTGCATGCAGTCTGTGGACAACAAGTGCCGTGCCTTTAACTGCGATCACTCGTTGAGCAGTTCGGGCGAAGTCCAGAGCCGTTTGATAAGGATGGACGAGGAGACCTTAATGAACATGTATCGACACATGCTGCGATGCCGATTGCTCTTCCAAACCTTCTTCACCTCGTTTGTGGACGTCTTCGAGCTTCGCCAGCTGCGGGAGCGTCTGCTGAACATGCTGGCCGACTGTCGTCTGCACAGAGGCATCTCTGCGCCTCTGGTGGCGCACGCCTATGGAGCGCTCTATAAATGCGGCCTGCAGAAGGAGGCCGTGGCCTGCATTATGGAGCAACTGTGGCTGCCACGCAAGGCGCACAAGTTTAGGGATCTGACACTGATGATATTGCGCATAGTGTCGAGCGCCAACTGGGAAGCGTATTATGACGAACTGGTGGAGCTGGACAAGGATTTCAAGTTCACGTTGCCGCTAGAAAACTTGATCACAATACTTCAATCGTCTATGCAACAGGGAGACAAATTTGAAAAGGCTGCCAGCTTGATACTGCTTCAACCAAATGCTATGTGTAAGAATGAAACTATTATGTCGTTTCTAACAGCGGCATCAAAGTGCTATAATCAAAATGAGCATGCCAGTTCAAACCTGCGAGCACCAGGAGCAGATTATGGTCCTCCATCGCTTATTGCAGCCCCTTCTACTGGACAGCAACAGCGTCCACCTTTTAGAAGACAGTCCGCAGTCCATAGCTTTAGAGATCCACCAATGAGCACAAATAATTTTAACGGAAACAATAGTTTTTATAGCTCCAGCGACTATCCAAACAGTTTAAGTAAGCAGCGCCAACGAATGTAATTATATCTGAAATGATCTGGTATCGATTCAGCCCTCCTTTTGACATTTAGCAGTATCTCTGCATCACACTTGACATTACTAAACATATCTGATTGATGGGATTTGCCATTTTTACAATTATTTTGTATTGTGGAATTGATCAATAAATGAAAAGTTACTTCTTTCTTTCAACATTATTACGTGTTTGTGTTTTTTCTAAATGAAACAGGACCACAAAATTGGGGTCCCTTCATAAAAAAATAACTACGATGGAAATTGTTTGTATTGTTTTTTGAGTCTTTTGGCTTGAATGTATATGGTTGACATCTGGTACTTTAATATTTCTTTAAAATCACTTGCTGAACCCTAAAAAAAAATTGTTTTAGCAAAATTATGTCTAAAACCGACATTAAGTTGTGCTTTAAAAACGCATTTAAAAATTACATGTACAATTACTTTTTATTAGACAATAGAGTAGCACTAAATAAAATCGAGACTTAACTATAACGTAAATCTGCATTATCTCTTTTGCTTGCCCTTGTTCCAGTTCTTTTTGCCGAAGCCCTTCCTTCCACCACCGCCTCCTCCGCCTCTGCTCGCGCCACCACCACCGCTGCCGCCACCCATGGGCTTCATGCGTTTGCGGGCGCCGGTGAAGTGCTCCGAGTCGTCGTGGTTGTCCCCGCTCCGCTTGTGGCCCCTGCCACCCTTGGTGTCCTCCAGATCCTTCAGCTCCAGCTTGGCCGTGCGCTGAGCCTCGGCCACTCGCTCCTGGAGGGCCATCACCTCGTCCTCCTCGCACTTGTACAATGGCAGCTGCTTGCCCAAGAGGTGCTCGATGCGCTGGTACAGCTCAATGTCGTACTGGCTGACCAAGGTGATGGCTTTGCCGGAGCGACCCGCTCTCGCTGTCCGACCCACGCGGTGGATGTAGTCCTTACTGTGCGTGGGTATGTCAAAGTTCACCACCACATCCACATGAGGTATGTCCAGGCCGCGGGAGGCCACGTCCGTGGAGATGAGAATCGAACGATTCTTGGCCTTGAATTTGTTCAAAGCGGCCAGACGCTTGTTCTGCGACATTTGACCGTGCAGGGGGATGGCAGCCAAGCCCAATGCCCGAAGCATCAGGGCAGTCTTAACCGTGTTGTTACAGGTGCTGCAGAAGATCATGAAGCTGTTGCCGGCCAATTCGTTGAGGATGTGCACGAGGTACACGTCCTTGTACTTGACGGGTATAAACAGATACGACTGTTGCAGTTGCTCCACCGTTTGGTACTTGTTGGACACCTCCACCTTAACCGGATCCTTCAGCGAGGCACGCTGCAGTTTCTTCACCTTCTTGGTCATGGTCGCACTGAACAGAAAGGTGCGACGTTCACGGGGCAGCACCTTGAGGATCTTGTCCAGCTCCACCTCAAAGTCCATGTTGAGAATGCGATCTGCCTCGTCCATGACCAGATATTTGATGGCCTTCAGGTTGAAACCCTTCATGTTCTCCAGGTGATCAACCAGACGACCTGGTGTGGCAATAATGATATGTGGTTTCTTGGCCAGCTGTAAGCCCTGGGCCACCATATCCATGCCGCCGACAACCACACAGCACTTGATGCCGATGCTGCTGCCTGGAAAACAGATAAGTTGGCATTACTTTGGGGTAGTATACATAAGGATTACAACTAAGGAATGAGCTTAAGACTCAGAGGTAGTGACGAATAAAGAAATAATAATTTCATATTTTCGTTGGTAAACAAAATCAAAACAGGTTTAACATCATAGTGTGGGGTACATAGGTATATTAGGGTCTGGGATGAGAACTCACCAAGCGCCTCGAACTGCTCGCCGATTTGGAAGGCCAGTTCTCTCGTGGGCGTCAGCACCAGGGCGAAATACCGCTGCGGATTCTCGAGGAGGGCGTGCAAAATGGGCAGGGCAAAGGCTCCAGTCTTGCCGGAACCCGTCTCGGCCAGTCCAATTACATCTTTGCCCTGCAGGGCCACCGGAATAGCCTCACGCTGGATCTTCGATGGCGCCTTCCACTTCAGTTCATCGCAGGCTTGGCACAAAGTCTCATTGAGGCCCTAAAGGAGAATATAAGACTTAGTTGGAAGTCGGTGATCAATTTCGAAGACTGGCACATACGAGATCTTTCCAGGTCAGCTTTTGATCCTCAGCTTCGCCTTCTTCTTCTGCTTCGGAGCCACTGGCTGCATCTGCATCCTCGTCGCCACTTTGCGCCTCTCCATTCTCTTCCGCATCTTCTTCATCTTCCACGTCCTCCTCCTCCTCGCCGCTCAGTTCCTCCTCTTCGTCACTGGTTTGCAGTTGCGCCTGCTCGTCCTCTGAAGTTTCCGACATTTTGTTACATGAATTTCGACAAAAATTTGAGCACGCTTTGGATATTACCACCAAGTTTACCACGTGTTCGAATCGAAAATCGAAGGCGATGTCATCGATGTTTTCAAAATATCGCTTCTATCGATGTTTGGCAGAGAATATCGATGTACCCATCTCTAACGATATTTTCTTGTTGAGAACTGGCGGCATAACAAGAAAATCTAGCTAGATTTTTGAAAAAAAGTAACGGAAATAATGTTTTAAATTGAAAATAAGGGAAATATGTAGTTTTTGATGATAAAAAGATTTTTGTTTTACAAAAAAGGATAAAAAGAGCATTAATTTTGTCAGTGGTAAAAAAAATTTCAAATTTTAAATGGTTCTAAAATAGTAACAATTTAATAATAATAAAGTCTGCAGATATAAAATGTAAAACCACCATAAATTTATTCTTGCAAACAAATGTTAAAGCCAGAAATGCGTCATGATTTTCGGGGAACACAAAAAAAAAACTTTAACAAATTAAAAAGATTTTGTTATTAGGGGAAGAACTAAAATGTGTTATGCTGATAAATATTTTATTATTATACCGATTACGTTTTCAGTGATTTAATCTCGGAAATCGCGACTCCCACATTTGTTTACCATTTTTAAATAAAATCTTATCAGGTAGAGCTACTTATCAATTCAAACTCATTGAGGGCAAATGTTTATTTTCCATTATTTCTGTTATGGTTATGAATGGCATATATGTATTTATAAAGTGTGCTTATGGGCTTTCCTCGCTAGCAGATTTTGACCAGTTGCACGTCGTTTGCGTTTGCCGACGATGGTGCCCAGTCCGGAAACAGTGCCCAACTGGAGGAGCAGGGGATTGCTGACCAAGGCGGCGGCAATCCCCAGAACTGCAGCACTGGCCAGCGGGATTAGGAAGCTCTTGGCCAAAAGGGCTTTGGGCGACACGTCGTGGTGGCCAGGACCAGGTCCCTTGTGCGCGGCTATCTCGTGCGGATCCAGGGGATACGGATACGCGTACTCTGGCGGGGAATAAGGGCCATGGCCCACACCGGCACCATGACCCGGACGCGATCCATATCCATACACGTCGAATGGTATACCCGCTTCCACACTGGAGCTACCGAAATAGGCCCCAGTTCCGCCACCATTTCCGTTTCCACCTCCAAATCCAAGGCCTCCTCCTCCTCCTGCTCCGTTGCTGTGGGAGTACTCGTAGGGATACGGATGGGAATCGCTTGCAAAGCTGCTCACGGTCGGTGCATGGGAAGCCCCTCCTCCAGCGGCTCCATAAGGACCTGTTTTTTAAATGATAAAAACGATAAGGTGCTATGTTAAACCAGAAAACCGTTTGGGTAATATTTAGTAAAATTTAATATATAAGCTTTATAAGTTGTAAATTATAAAGAAATGTTTAAATTTGAAATTTTATTAAATAAGTCCATTTAAAAAAAAATTCTTTGCTTGGAAACACAATTTACTAACAGTTAATAGTTTTGAAGATAGAAACAATACATTCAATAAGAAAATGTTTAAATAAACCTTTAATCAGATCTTGTAATTTGCTTATAATAAATTTATTCGGAAAGATATACAATGTAATAACTTTGATTTATTGCTAGTTATTTTTATTATGTTATCTTTTAATGAGTAATTGAAAGTGCTTTTAAATAATTACCTCATGAACTTTTCAGCATTTACTAAAATGTCATAAATGGCTTTCAAGCAAGCGAATTTCTTTAAGACGTAATTTCTGATGGACCAGTCAATCATTAGATCAGTTTCGATTTTACGTACAATATTTTCTTTAAATATCTACTTAGATAATAAATCTAGAAAGTCCACAAAAGTTTGCTAAAGGAATTGTTCCCTGATTTAACAGAAAATTTTAATTTGTGAAGATATCCCTTTAGTATCCATACTCACCCACGCTGATTCGGTCCTGGAGATTTGCACCTCCAGCTCGCCATTTGTTGTAGGTTTCACTGAGACTTTCGCCCACGCTTCCCAGCGAAGGATGACTGGTGGAACCACTCAAAGGAGTCGTTTCCAGGCCTGCTCCACCTCCTCCTCCGGATCCTGGACCCCGACCCCTGTAGAATTCAGGCGGTGGCTCGAAACTCTTGGCGGTGGCCGAACCGGCCAGGTCCAGTTGACTTACTGCCCGACTGCTGACCCCCGCATCGCTGGCATTTTGGGCCACGGCGATGCTCATCCCGAACCAGGCCAGACCAAGTGCGATCCGAAGCTGCCGTTTGCAGGCAAACATGATGACTAAGCTCGCCGGCGCCATGTCATCGACTTTATAATGAAGCCCCAGCTCAGGGATAGCAAGCGACTGCCGTCTGGCGACAAATTGTGCTTTGCAATTCGGGCCTAAAAGTGTCCGCTTCGTTGAGTCCATCAGTTGCGCCACTCTCGCGGGGAATTTCACTTTCCTTAGCAGGTTGCGTCTAAGCGAGCACCTCTCTGGGAACTGCAATGCTAGACCTTATATATTAATTACACTGGAAAAAATTGTTTCATAATTCCCTTAAAGAAATATTTATACATATGTTACAAGCGAGTAAATCATTAAATTATATTATAATTTATTTAGATGAATACAAATTTATTTATTAAAAAACCAAAGAATTAAATTTTTAAAAAACTTTTGTTTTTTTATACAACTAAGGTTTTAGTTGTATTAACTGCTTAGCCAAACAAATTATACCAATTTAATTTAGTTATAACAAAATGTTATACAGATGATTTTTTGAAGCCATTAAAAATAGAATAATCTGCTATGCAACAGGTTTTTTAGCCCAAAATCGAGTATGATTAAAAACGTTGTACCTAGTATAGTTCTTAATAAAACAAAATAAGTTAAATAACAATATAATCATTTTTTAAGTGCACTTACCAAGTGGTAACCGGCATTAATAATATGAGAGTTCATGGTGGCAAAATTCGAAAGGGAAACTGCTCGAACCACCCATCGCAAAATGATGAAAGATCGCAACGCAGCCAAGAATTGTTAAGAAATTATCACCGTTCCCGTTGGCTGCAACCGACAAAACGGCAGCAACATTAACCGAAAAACATGACCAATTTATTAGATGTATGTCCAATTTTAGAAGCGAGATGCAAATCGATCTAAAATGGTAGCGCCTCCGATGTCTTGTGTTTCCGGCAGAAGCTACGCGATTGCAAAAATGGATGTCAATGGAAACGTGTCACCTTATCAGCTTATTGGGAATTGCGCTGGTATTTCGCGGAGTTTCGATATCTCCGCAAAGCAGGGAAATTAAATGTGAAACATTGTGCCAATTATCGCAACATGTCGAATACTTTTTCAAATAGTTTTTCTTCAACACATACGCTGCACCAATGTTATCTTAAGCCAAAAGTTTTTGTATCTAATCTAATGTGTCTGCGACCTTATTGTTTCTATTGCATTATGAGTAAGGACATATATATAGACATAATTAAGTAATAGTGCAAGTAAATCCCACTTGAGCTGCCCTATTTCATAACTGTGAAAGCTAGAGTACGCGAATTCTTAAGCTCAGTGAAATTGAAGGGCTCTTAAGCTGCACTGTTTTGTAGCCTAAGTGGCTTAACTTCCAATAAGTAAAAATATTTGTTATCAAAAACTGTGCAAGTAAAGGGCACTTAAACTTTCTTTAGATACTCATAAAAAAGTTAGTATAAAATTTAATGAAACTTTTATAAAAGTTATAATGAATTTTATATAAAAAATTTATTAATATTATGATTCAAAGTTTTTCTTAAATGAGTGCATTTGTATTATAGTAAAAGCTCAAATCAAGCAAAAAGCCTCTTTATTTGGAAAAAATTCATGACAAATTTCTAACATCAGAGATCGAACTAACCAAATTTATCCATATTTGCAAATTCTTGTTAAAACACAAAATATTTAATGTAATCCTAGGACAACCAAGTGAAACAATAATCTAAAGTAAACATGCCGATTGATTTTTCTAGCACATTGATTAAGACAATTCAAGTAGTGATTAATATTGCAGTTAATTTGATTTATTTGAACAAATGAAGTGAATTTAAGCACAGGGCCAAGTCCATGACCAGTTGTTCCAGGAAACGCACTTCCTCAGTGAGCTGTCGAATCCGCTGGGTTCACCAATATCATCCTCGCACGTGATGGCAACCGCCGCTTGGGATCCAACGGAGTCGCACCACCAGTAGCGGGTGGGATCCCAGAAGTTGCGGATCTTGACCTGCAAGTTGGTGGAGTTCCTGCAGTCGGGCTGGTTGTTGCCATCGGGATCGCAGGTGTAGACGCCGGAGAAGAGCGCCATGAAGAGGGCGAGGCTCAGTAGAAGTAAGGCTACGAATCGAGGAAGAATCCTTTAGAATCTTGTTCTACTTCCAGGCGGATTCGCAGATGACTTACCGGTCTTCATGGTTGAGTTGTGACTGTTTCCGTGACTGTGCTTTGACTCGGCCAATTGGCAAGTTTATATACCCCAGGGCCCAACTGATACTACGCTGATACTACCTTCCAATCACAACAGCTATCTCCCTCGCCGAAAAGCCTGTGCAAAATTCTATTTTGGCAGCGACATGAAATGGTTTCAAAATAATCGTGCCGTGTATCGCCAGCCGTATCTGAATCCCAACGAATGCTCGCGCCCCTAAGTTATAAGTTGACGCAATAGCTTGATAAGATGGGGGTCTTTGGGAGGACAGGCAGTCTGCTGCCCAAGAAGGGTGGGAATTTCAACCGTGAAGTACAACTCTTAACTAAAATGATTGTTTATAAAGGCAACACCCTACTGCTTATACAAGCATTTGCTCGATTAAGTTTCACAGACTCTTTAAGCTTTACGTAAAATATTACGCAGAACCAATTTAATTAGATTTAAATAAAATAATACTTTTTTTATACCCAAAATATTTGTATATTCCTAAACAAAATAATGTTATCATTTTAAATGCCAAATAGTGTCTTTTTAAGTGACATACAAAATCATCTCTACTCTTATACATTAGTATGTAAATTCCGCTATTTTTCCACTAATTAATTTATAAGATTGTATTGTCTTTTGCACTTATACTGCCATCTTAAAATTGAAAGCAGGTAACATAGGTCCTATCTAACCCTTAGATTGATCTAACTACAGGTTTATCTTGGGACATGCCATAGTAAGCTATAGGCAATTTATCTCAAGATTATAAAGAAACAATATGTTATTAACAGATATTTATTTATGACAAGAGGCGAAATCTCAGTAGGCCACACAAGTGGCACACATCTAATTTCTCCGCACAGTAATGCTTCCAAATTCCTTGTGATCGACCCGTAGTGATGGAGTCGAGGGTGGACAGTAGTGGGGGCCAGCCGAACACCATTATGATCCAGCTGGTGTCCCAGCAGCCGAGCTCCAGCGGACATGCACAGGCCATGCCCATCTCGGTGCAGGCGATTCCCCTGTTTCCCGGCTCCCGAACAGCCAACGAGCAGTCTCGGCCATCGGACTCCTTATCCCCCAATATGAGACCGCCGGCCAAAGCTCCTCCCCGAATGCACTCAAGAATCCGACCCGAAATGTGCGCTCCACCCAAACGGATGTCTTCGCAGAATGAGTTCAAGTGTTCCTATCCGCGGTATTCCTCCAGTGGAGTTAACCAACCGCCGGTGCGGTACGTGGTCCGTTCAGCGGACCGGATGCTCCCCATCTACATTCCTTCACCTCGCACTGCCAGCAATTCTCTGGGCAATGTGCGGGGTGGGCGGATGGAAGGGGAGTGTCCTTGCTGTGGCGTTCCATTGATTCCGGGAAAGGAGACTTTGGGACTTCTTCCACCACAAGAAAAAGAGAACCTTGGTCGCCGAGATCAGGCCACCAATACCGATGGCCAAACGGATCTGGTGGACCTACAGACGATCTGCGAGTCCTTGGGTCGTGCTGTAATGGCAGCAGCCATGGCAGCCATGGAATCAGCTCAGAAAAACCATTTGGAAAAACCCACACTCGTTAGTAGAAGTACTGGTCCTGAGAGGTCCAAGGACCCAACCAATATTACTTTTCAGAAGCACACACAATCGCCCTCACAAAACAAGCAGAAACAGTTGGAAGCGGAGATTACTGGTGATGAAACAACATCAGCGGATGAGAAAATTGTCTCGGATGATGAGAAACGCGTATCCCAGCATAAAACCAGCTTTTTGAACACAGTGCTCGTAGGAAGAAAGCTGACTATTGGTGAAAAGTCTTCAGATGAGATGCTGGAACTGACGATACCTTCACGTCTATCTGATGGACGTTTCCACGTGGAATATCCCAAAACACCCAGACCAACACCGGAGTTCATTCGGGCATCTGTGAACATACCCTATGGATCCGCGTCAGAGCATTCCCGCCTGAATTCCGGTGCCTTGGAAACTGGGGGGACTCCCATCGGGAATAGCAACATAATCAGTATGTGCCAGCGAGCTGGTCTTGTCCTGGCAAAGCCATTGACTTCTGCAGGGAAACCTTTAGTCGGAAATCAAGTCTCTGCATTGATTGCAGCTGAAGATTTCCGGAGTGTCTCGATTAGGAGAAGGTTCCCCACGGAAAAGCTCCCTCCAGCTAAAACTACAGAGACTTCTGGCCCAACATCCCCCAACTCATCCCTGACTGCAGTAAAACAGTCAGAGGATCCATAACCTACATTATTGTAATGCAAAATTTAAAGTACTTTTAACGAAACATATATTCTAGTCGAATAAAAGAATTTATAAAACTAAACAAAGAAAAAAAAAGGCCAAAAAAATTGATTGACTCTTAACATAATTTTTACATTAATCATTATGAACCTGTAAATATAAAATGAACACTGCGTATTAATAATAAACCTGAGAAGTTTGTCTAGTTTTAGTTTTCAGCTTCACCAAGAAGAGTCATATATTTTCTAATTTTATATAATTTTTTAAGCCATTTGCAATTGCTTTTGCACTTTTAGGGGCGCGAGCATTCGTTGGAATACAGATACACGGTACGATTATTTTGAAACCATTTCATGTCGCTGCCAAAATAGAATTTTGCACAGGCTTTTCGGCGAGGGAGATAGCTGTTGTGATTGGAAGTTAGTATCAGTGTAGTATCAGTTGGGCCCTGGGGTATATAAACTTGCCAATTGGCCGAGTCAAAGCACAGTCACGGAAACAGTCACAACTCAACCATGAAGACCGGTAAGTCATCTGCGAATCCTCCTGGAAATAAAATGAGATTCTAAAGGATTCTTCCCCGATTCGTAGCCCTACTTCTACTCAGCCTCGCCCTATTCATGGCGCTCTTCTCCGGCGTCTACACCTGCGATCCCGATGGCAACAACCAGCCCGACTGCAGGAACTCCACCAACTTGCAGGTCAAGATCCGCAACTTCTGGGATCCCACCCGCTACTGGTGGTGCGAATCCGTTGGATCCCAAGCGGCGGTTGCCATCACGTGCGAGGATGATATTGGTGAACCCAGCGGATTCGACAGCTCACTGAGGAAGTGCGTTCCCTGGAACAACTGGTCATGGACTTGGCCCTGTCCTTAAATTCACTTCATTTGTTGAAATAAATAAATTAACTGCAATATTAATCACTACTTGAATTGTCTTAATCAATGTGCTAGAAAAATCAATCGGCATGTTTACTTTAGATTATTGTTTCATTTGGCTGTCTTTGGATTGTTTTAACAATAAATTTCAGTTATAGCACTTTATTAATTGGCCATGTCGATCCCATGGCAGTCGCATAATATGTATAGCTTTACATTTTATTAAGGAAATGTTAAGATTATAAAAGAAAAATTAAAACAACTTACTGAACCTTAGATATATTATTGTTAAAATTGTTCCAAAACAGGAAAATTGCCTGTTTTAGTCTCATCAGCAATCTGAGCGAAAAAAAGGGGATTATTAATATGTGCTTAAGATTGGTTTAACATTGTATTGTATGTGGACATAAAATATTTTTCTTAAAAGTTTATAAATATAAAAGTAAAGCTTTGAATTAAAACAAAATGTTCTATTTTTTTTCTTGTGCAAATTGCCCAACTTACAGAACTATTTTTTTTTGTTTTTAACAGGGTAACTCAAACATCTTCTTTTAAATTCAAGGGTTTTTAATCTGACCTTACACATATTACATTTTAATATGGTTACTCAACAAAGACTTATTGGAATCTTAAACAATGTTATTTAATTCAATAGAAATTTCTTTAGTCTCATCATTAACCAAAACATCAATTTAAACCAGCTGAAATTGGTGAAATGTAGGTATGATTTCTGGGTGGCGTCAACCCAGCCAATTGGCTAGATACATTTACGATCAGTGATCATGAGATTATTTTTAAACGATTTCATGTTCGTTCCAAAATAGAACTTATCATGTCAATAGTCGTAGTCGTACAATGCTGCAGGGATAGATAGCAGAGTGCTATAAATGGCTGAAAGTTGGGTACGAATGTCATTCAGTTTTAATCACCTGAACTAGCACCATGAAAGCCGGTAAGTTTTCTGCGAGACCTTACTTTCCTGAAAACGTACTCATGGGGGATTCCGTATTCAGCTGTAGTCCTTCTGTTCCTGGCCCTTTACGTGGCTGTCCACGCCGACCAGGCCTGCAATCCCGATGGCGATGGCGAACCGGACTGCGTGGGTCGCTCCGGACAGGTTTCCCGCGACTTCTGGGATCCCACCCACTACTGGGAATGCAACAGCTCCGGCAAAGCCGTGCTCACCGCTTGCGAGTCGCAAACGGGATTCGATCCCAAGGTTGGAGCATGTGTGCACTGGAGCGTTTGGCAGTGGTATCCACCATGTCCCGAAACATCCACTTGAGCAATAAACTTTGAGGCAAACTATTTGTTGTTCATTTTCTTTTCTGACTTAAGGGTTTTTTTTTAGACTCAAATGGAGATCACTGATCATATACTGAGAAAAAAAGAGAGCTCAAAATCAAGAAGAACTTGGCTTGTAAAATATATATTTTAAATTAATAATTTGGATCAAATGTAGCAGAGTAGTCAGTATTTTTCGATTGCATGATAAGTAAAATATCGGAGCCGTTGGATTCGAACCTGTAACTTATAGGAACTTTAAACTAAAATTCTTTAAATCCGGGTAAATAACAGTTTAAATAGTTAAAATCTCTTATGAACTGGACCTGCTTGAAATACCTTTATTGATGTAAACAGAAAGGAAGTATTTAAGAACTGACTGCTCTGCACTGAGTTTTATTTCGGAATTCCCTCTTTATAATTTAATTATTAATCATAACGAACCCCTATGTGACACTCACAAAATTCTCAAAGTTTCTTAAATTTGTTGTGTTTGTTTTATTTTTTGTATACAAATCGCTTAACTAGGGACATGGGTAAGAAGTCAAGAGAGGAATTGGAGCTGCCAGTAGCCAGTTGGCATCGTGGTCTATCCCTCATTCAAATGCAGGCGGCTGATCAGTTGGCAAATACCTTGGCATACGATATCAAAGGCACTCGGGATTGTCTTTTGCGCCTGGGAGTGCGTCCGCTGGTCAGGAATCAGCAACTCCTCAGGATTGTGCAGCTAAGTCGTGGTCAGAAGCTTGCCTTTCTCTACTTCCTGTACCAGGAACACTACAAATCCTGTGGCCCGTGTGTAAAGTATTCGATTAATGGACAACTTCTGCTCTCGGCCATTGCCTATCTGGATCTGCCGGCCACTTTTCGAGCGCTGGACAAAGTTCTACCACTAAGCAGAATATCGAATGCTACACATGTCCCAAAAAAGGATAGTAAAGAAATAAAAGGACTTGGGTTCGACCCCATTTGGGTAAGAAAATTATATAATAAGGAAGTAATCAAATTATATATCATTTTCTGAATTGGGACTTAAAAACCGCCTACCAATCATTAAGAAAAGAAAAAAATTACTTTAAAACAAACAAATTTTTAAATATTATTAAATCATTTTACGTTTTAAAATAATTGAACTCTGTTTTTATTACTAAAACTTTTACTTTATAGTAATAAATATTTAAATATTTTTATTTTTTGGACGCAATGAAAAAATATATAATTTATTTGATTAGTGGTAGTCGTTTTCCTAAAATATAAATGTCAAACCCGTTTAACCTATAGAAATATATACCAAAGTTAATCTGTAAACCTTTTTCAATTTTTAATTTTCAATTTATTTACAGAAGAATTCTAGACAGCCCTCCATCGGAACTCCAAATCCAACCATGTATGAATCGTATAACCAAAACGAGATGGAAGACGAGATGCCTCTGGACTTACGGGCCACTTTTCGAGCACTCGACAAAGTGCTTTTCTCACAGGTGGCACAAACCAGGACTCGTCGTTCGACGGGTGAATCTCGCAAAAAAGCAAAGCCCTACTTTCAGAAGCAGCCCCGTCCAAAATCGTCCCGCCCATCCACCTATTATTCGGCGAATTCCCCGCTGTTTGAGGTGGAGATTCCCAACGAGGAGGGGGATCCAAAAGACGATGACGACCGATGGTTCGCCGACTTTGAGCTCCATCCGATCCAGCGCACAGTGAAGGCGGTAATCAACCACGAGCTCTGTCACCTGTTCGATCAAGTAGACGAGGCACCCAGCGATCCAGAGGCACAGGATCAGGAACCAAGGAATCTGTGCCAGTTCCATGAGGAAACCCGATCTCAGGAGCGAAAGGCTTTCCTCCTCGAACAGCAACAAAGATACCTGGATATGATCGACATGGAAAAGAGAGAAAAGCGGGTGAGTTGGGTAGTCTTAAACTAATTATTATATGTTTTAAATAAAGTAAAAACAAAATATTTTTTTATCATATTTTGTGAAGCCCTTGATTGATTTAATACTCTATATTTATATACAAATTTAATATTAAAAATTAATTTTATAAATCTTAAAAATTAATTATATAAAGTATTCTTCTTAAAGCCATCCTTCAATATTAAAAACAAAAATGTTTTTTCTCCCTTTTTATGCAAAGAAAAAATTTGTTTTTTGTAAGAATTCATTTTATATTTTTTTTTCCATACACCAATCTTTGATTACATATTAATTGCATAATCAAAAATAATCTGATATTGTATTTAAAGAGTATTATACAATGACGCTTTAATTTTATATATATATATATATATATATATATTAAATATTTTATTTAATTTTTATATATTATTATTTCCCTCAAAAAGTTAACAAGGGAGCGCATTGTGTATCACCTGAACCGGGACGTGGATGAGTACCTCCTTAAGTTCGGCGACAAGGGCTGGAGTCCCGGAGTGCCTGCCATGCGGAGGCCCGGCTGTGCCGCCTGCAGCGAACTGGTCCACGTGAGCCTGGAGACTCCTCCCCAGGTGCTCCTCCTCGAAGGTGAACGAGGACGGCTGTACGACAGGAGTGGACCCAAGATGCGGTTATGTGGTGGTGAGGATGGGAGCCGAAAGTCCCCGAAAGAAAGGACTACTGGTTACTTTACGGCCACCAGGAGTCAAAGCCCCTATGCCTTTAACTATCCACGGATATTCGAACCTTTGGACGGCAAAGAGCCTATTGGGAGTTACCTGATCAAAGCCCTCGACGAAGATGAGGAATGGCCTGTGCCCAGGACAATAAGGAGGAGTCACATCGACGAAGCTGTCTCACGGTGTGTGCGGAAAATATTTGAGAAGAGTTTGCTGGCAGTGTCATGTGCGGCCACGCCCAAAAGGTCCCAGGAACGCCTTGTCTATGACCGCAAACGGGTCGATCCGGATGACGAGGAGTTCATGGACCAGATGCTAAGCGATGCCTTCCAGGTGCTCCAACGTGATCGCAGTCTTGTGCTGGCCAGCCTGCCCGATGGTCACCAATTGCCGGAGCTGCGGGAGTGGATACGGCGGCGATATGGCAAGCGATATGGTCCACAAACCGATGCGGAGGCAGAAAGGGCTAAGCAAAAGACATTGAAACTGGCCGGGATGGAGAGGAAGTTGATTCCGTTGTTGGCCAGCATAGATCCCCGGACGGTGCAGACAAGGCCCGTGCCCTATACCCTCTATGAGGACATCATGGCCGTGGCTAATCAGTTCAAGAAATCGTTCCGGGAGAACGTCCTACAGATCATCCTCAAGCAAACGCGACTCTGCTGGCAGGCGCAACACAATCTGCGGGTCTACAATAGTTCCGGACTCCGTCGCACCTTCTTCACATATCTACCGAGCTGCTCCACCGATATAGATCCCACCTTAAGTCTCTACTTGGCACAGAAATAGTTAGCTTCAACCTACTTATTTGATATGCTATTTTTAATACCCCATATCATTTCATATATGTATATCTTACCAAATAGAATGAACATCATTGAACCTAGTTGGTTTCATTCTGATTGGAAAAGATGAATGTGATTTTAAGTGATATTCACTCAAAATATCAGCTCTGATATTCATTCATTCGACTCACTTATATCATTTATTATTTTTATTATTTTTACACATTTGACAAGGGAGCTGAAGCTCTTTCAAATTTCAGTGTAACTGAATTAGCTAAACGTTATTATTAAGTGTAAAAACACATTCCACTTTATGTATATAGGGAGCTAACAACAAATTAATGTTTATAATGGCACTCAAAAATTCAAGTTAAAAATAAAATTTATAAAATAATAATTTTTAAAATAATAATTTGAAAATGTTTCCGCATTTTGTCTACCTATATCCACTAAAAGGCTTTGCTGTTTAATTAGTGCAAATAAAAATAATTATTTAAATCGTGGATGGCTCAACTTTTCTAGTGGACAATATGTATTTTATTTAATTTTTATTAATAATAAAAACTTAAGAAAGGCTAGTAACAAAAAAATTGTGGACGGCTTTGTCTTGTGCCTAGCCGACCGTATATGTGTTCCATCCTTGTCTAGGGGAGTGCTAACTTGCTCTCCTTCCAAACAACACAGTAATATGAGTTGATTGCCGCCTTTTATAGGTATGCTGCGCGGAATAAGCACTTGGGAATTTTAAGCGAACTGCTTAGTGCATTTGTTCGACTATAACTTACTTAGTTAACTTCTTTTTATGTGTAGTTACTTATTTAAGTAGTGGAATTTTAGTTTAAATAAAACATATGTTACTCTGCTAACATTGACACTGAAATTAATGGCTTCGATTGACTTCCCGTTTTGGGAACCTGCAACGTGACATTGACGTGGCCACAAGGGCCAACGGTGACCCAGTCATTAACCATATGACGCCGTCTTACCACCGAAAATTTGTTAACCCAACCACGTATTTACCGAGAAACATATAAAAAGACATGTTGCGAACAGCAGGTTATCAATCATCAACGATTCCATCAACAGTTCGGTTATCTTTATCATCGAAAACAATATGTGCAATCAAATGAAGATTTTCTGTTCCTTGCTGGTGGTGATCCTGGCATTGGGAGCAACGGCAGCTCAACCAGCCAGGTTGGGAAAGCAGCTACAGAGGCAGCAGGCAGCACCATACCCATCCGCCGAGGAACTGAAGCCAGAGGTTCCCTTCGAGGAGGGAGTGCCCGAGTCGGAGCCCGATCAGACCTATGGTCCGCCGGATCTGACCTACGGACCTCCGCCCACCGATGCAGTGGAGCAGCTTCCCACGGATGAGGAGCCGCAGGACTTTACACCCGATCCGGATGCAGAGGAGGTTCAGCCCAGCCAGCAGGCTCCTGCTCGTCTGACCAAGCAGATCAGGAATCGTCCACAATCCCAAGGATTGATACTGCTATCCTCGAGCCCATTCCGTCTGCTCAACGCAAATGCAATCCCCGTACCAATACCCATTCAATCTTTGTGGTAGATAAACATTATTTTATAAACATTATATTAATTATTGTCTTTTGTTATCCGTTTAACCATTAAAGAACATTTGTCGATACACCAAATTGATGTACTTTAAAAGATCATTTTGTGGGCTGAGTACATATACTACAATAATTACAAATATAAGAACGATAAAAGTATGCAGATAACTTTAGCTAACTTCGGTTTTTTTTTGGGGAAATTCTCGGCAGCTGCTTTGGAATGTTCTGTCTGCCCCGACCTAGACTACATAGTAAAAGCTAAATAATAATTTATTTAAGAATACTACGTAAAATCACTTTTGGCATTGTGCGGTCCTCGAGTTAACACAGAATTATTCTCCCAACTAACGAACTGAACAAACATACATTGAATTGTAAAACTTTCTACTTAAAATGCTAGTTATTGTCTCTGGTACGATTGCAGCTAAATTGATAAAGCAACAAAAAATGCAAATAAATCGCGATAATAATAAATTAAAGACACTAGAGCACCGCCACTGGACCGATACCAGTTTTGAAGAGGGGAAACAACTAATGGTAAACATATTCGTAGTCTGACTGCTACTACATAAAGCCTTCGTCATAAATTCGCACACATTTTGTAGGCAGAACTAGCCAAATCTCCTGTTTTTGTTTTTGTGTTCGTTTTTGCCCACATCATTTCTAGTGGGTCCTGTCGTTAAGGATTTGAGCCAAACTGGCCCAGGTGCCAAAGACAAAGCCACAGAGTCCGAAGATCAGAATGAGAAAGTCCTTGCACAGCATCCAGTTGTAGCGGCCGTAGCCAACGTTATAGAAGGTAATAATTTCAATGATTGGCGGGGCAATGAGAGCCAAAGCTGAACTGCTCACAGCTCCCACCAGCGAGATAATGGAGCCCAGATTGGGAATGCAGGTGGCCAGAAGAACTAGGAAGGGAATTTAGGTCAATACAAACAATAAACTTGGCTACAAGTCGAGAACTTACAGGTAAATGTGACTAGAACGACTCGCAGGACAGTGGCTGACAGATCCTTGGCTTGGGTGGTGTCAAAGTGACTCCTCACAAAGGGCTCCACAATGTTTACGGGCACATAGAACTGCAGAGTGTACGAGAGGAATATGGCCACCGCCATGGAAATGCGCACCAACTGGGAAAGTCTAAAAGAGGAAAGGAAAATTATATATTGAAATAAGATGGTTTTCATATCAGGAATTCAAAAAAAAAATAAATTGAAATAAATAAAGAAGAGTCTATAAAAAACTTGTCTAAGTTTGAATTTATATTATATTATTTATGGATTTGGGACTGATGGACAAGGGGATTTTATTTTACATATTATATTAAAGGTTATGGGACTGAATAATGATTGAGTGCTTTAACCTTAAAATGAATGCTATAGATTAGGGCTGCCTAAATTTAATTTGATCTTATATGTTACATTAAAGGTTATGGGACTAAAAGAATGAATCTTAGCTAAATGAATCAATCTTTGCTAAATTGAATCTTAGCTCGACCTTACAATGCTCAAGACATAAAGACACTAAATACTAAAGTTTAGGTTTGTCTTTTTTTAATCTTTATCTTCTTTGTCATCATTTAATTGGATATATATTATATTAAAGGTTACGGTACTAAACATAGATAGGTGGGAAATATGTCCCCTTTAATACTTGAATGCTTAGCTAGGTATATATAATCCACAAAGTAAGATCGTTAAAGCTAAAGATTAGTAATGGAAATTCTTAGGACTTACGTTTCGCCCTGCGGCAGATTTAGGGTTATGCTGCCCTCCACATGTTCGCCGTACTTCAGGTAGCCAAAAAACCCGACAGCCGTGTACAGGCAGGCCACGATCACCATGCCCGTGTTGAGGACACCCGTGGTGCCGCCAAAGTCCTCGGGAGTGCGCATATTATTCTCCAGGGGCAGGACCACGCCAATCCCCTCGAACGCATAGATGGCGGTGCCGAAGTAGAGCGGCAACGTGGCCCAGGTGGCCACCGGTTTGACCGTGTGCACATCCGGCAGATCCTGCAGCATGTACGAGAAGCTAATGGCCAGACCGGCCACCGTGAGAAGAGCGGCGATTAGCGAAACGGGCGTCAGGTACTTGAGGTTCCGCACCAGATTCAACAGGATCATGGGGCCCAGCATTATGAGCAGATAGATCTGCACGGGCATCTTGTAGTAGTGATCCATCACGTCCTTCACGTTCAGCGCCACAAACAGAAAGTAGACGCAGCAGAAGCCGATTTGGGTGATGAACAGGAACGTGGTGATGATCCGTCTGGCCAGAGTCGAGTATCTGCGCAGCCCCAGCGGTCCCGACTCAAAACTGCAATACGCCACCTCCGAGAAGTTCAAGGCCGGCTGCTGGAACCGCTGGCACAGCTCGTGGGAGCACTTGACCAGCATGTGCATGCAGTGGGTGCAGATGGCGCCCATGATCAGGGTGCCGAAGAGACCCACATAGAGGCCGGCGTTCTTGAAGGCATCCGGCATGGCCAGAATGCCCGTGCCAATGTTGCCCTTCAGCAGATGGATCAGGGTGTCGAAGTTGGACGTCGGGTGCTCCAGGGTGCGATGGTGGGTGGGGTTGTAGCTGGACTTGTCCGTCGCGCCGTGCTCCTCATCTCCAGATCCCGAGGCTGCTGCGTGCACTCACGGGAAAAAATCGAAACAAATATAAGTACATTGTAACATTATATTACAAATTATTTAAATTAAATTGGAGTTCTTAAGCTATTTTATTTAAACAAATATAATAAATCGAAAATGTATTTTCAATACATTTATGCATCCCAACACTTATGATTACAAATTAATCAAAAGAAAAATCTATAAATATAACTGTGACAACTCTGAATAGTTCAGAATTTATAAGGATGTGGGATTTATGAAACATCAATGATTAACTTAACAGATAGAATGACTCAAAAATGATTAAGAGGGAATTATTTTTACTGTTTATAAATTAATTTTAAAATAGTCTGTGGTTAGAAGAAGTATATACCCACAAAAATAAAAATAATAATTTCGAGTTTGTCAGTTAACCCTTTACAAGTTAGTGATACATGCATTATCAGACAGAATATATCTCCATCATTAAAGCTAAATATTAATTATAAATGTAATTTTAATTGACCCATTTTTAAACATTTTTAACATTTATACTTTTCAAGTCAAATAGTAAAATCACCCTAATATGACTTAAAATAAAATCAATTAAAGATGCATATAAGCCTCGTTTTGGCAAGATTTGTGGATAAGGCAAATCCCAAACTCACCTGCTAAACTGTCCTCGCTGTGCACATTGACCAGCGTGTTGTCCGGCGGAGAGCTGCGCACGGGTCGAGCCGCCGATCCTCGGCTGCCCTCGTAGTCGGAGGCGTCGCTCTGCAGGAGCAGCGGCTGGCGTTCCGTCATCTTTTTCTTGCGCGGCGCACCGTCGGGAAACTGGAACAGTTAATACGAAATGAACTAAGAGCAATGCAGTATAAGATGCGACCTCTCTGCCTGCACAAAACGCACTAAAATTGAGACTTGAGACGCCCGCTCTTCGCCTCGGAAATTTTCCGCTGACTCAGATTTCCACGCCTATAACAATAGGAGGTGCAGATAGTGCGCCGGATAGTGGACAGCAAACGCATGCCGGGAGCGGTGTGGAAAATTTCGACCATGCTGATAGTCGGACTCAGCCTTGGACTTGACTCAAAGTGCACGATTAAGTTGATCTTTACATTACTTTCCATATGGCTCCGATTAAGCTCGCTTCCGAAGTCGATATTAAAAATTCGCGAGTACTACAGTATAGGTTTAAATCCGAAAACACGGAGACGAGTCGCAAAAACAAGCTATACGAGGCGATAAGACCGGCAAAGCCACCGAGCATACCATGAATCGCAATTATATATTATATATCTAGGCGGTGAATCAAATATCCACCCATTATATTCTGATTATTGAATTATTGACTCAGCAGTGAGAGACATACTGAAGTTACATTACCGTATTATTAATTTTCCTGATATTTAATACTTTCGATGTGGAAATTAGATACGTTTTCAAAGCTAATCCATTTGTAAACAAATAAAGTTTTAACAAACATGTGCATGTGATATATAATACTTTGATTTATCCGGAAAAAACTTATATAACTCGAATAAAAATAAATTTAAGGTAAAAAAACTAAACAAAATTTAAAAAAATATCTTCAAAATGGGGATCATGGTTTAATTCAAATTTTTATTTTGAAAATACATATAAAAACATGTGCAAGTAATTATTATCTTTAACTTTAAGAGATTTAATAAGTCTGTATCATATACATTTGAGGTGAGATAAAACTTTGATAAATTTTAAGTTAGTTTCTTTTAAGCAATTTCTATCTATTTTTAGCCGACCTAAATTCTATATAATAAAAAAAATGTGTAGTATTTTCACGAGAGATTATATCGTCTAAAATCCAGACAAACAGCGGACTTATGTCAAGAAACCTTTATTTGAGCGCAATAAAGAGTTCAAACAAAGCATCAAGAACTCTAACTTATATTTTTTGTTTTATCTTGCATCACAGACTTGCACAACAAAGTGCGACATTGCAGAGATACATTTGTATCTGTATCTTGTTTTCACTTACAGAGAATATCGCAAATTAGATGGATCCCAATGTGAGATTGTGGTTGTTTGTACTATAAGTATATTGATTTGTTGTAGTCGTGTTGGTACTCGGCTTTTGGGCAAATAATAATCTTGGAACTCAAAACTGTAAAAAAAACCATAATTAACAGATGGACGACAAAAGCAAATAAAACCCATTCAGCATGCGCATTTGGATGGATGGATTTGGAATGGATGGCTGTTGCTACCTGTTGAAGGTTCGTCAGTGGCGTCAGGTCCTCCATTGATTTTTTCCCGCTTGACACTGACAATGAAAAAAAGGTGCTGGTGCTCCTGCGAAGGTCACAGCGTTGTGGCGCGATTGCGTTTTTTCTTTTATCAGTGTGGAAAGCAAATCAAGTTGGAACAGAAGACATGCAAAGCTCCATTAATTACAGAATTGGGGTGCGTGGTGGAGGAGACGACGGATGCCAATTATCTTTTCCCAGTCTGCGAATCGAACAGAGTAGACATCAACAATGAATCATGCTGTATTCATTCATTAACAGCAGTTTGATAGGACGATGCATTACAGTCGCCCAACTGACAGTAGGTATTTATTATTATGTTGCAACACATGTTATCCTTTTATTGTAGCTACTGCTTCACACACATACGTTACAATTTTCCTCGAATTTAGCTCGCAATAACAATTGCCTCTCACTCCAAAACAGCACTGAGCAGCAAAACCAAAGCAAAACACTAGTAATCGAGTTTGGTTGTTTCCGAATCTATCGATTATTTTGGCGATTAGATGGTACAGTGAAACTCAAATAAGAAATAAAATATAAACATGCCAAATCTCTTTAAGTTCAAGATCACAAGTTTCAAAATAAAGACAAAATTTAACGTGATATAACCTTTTTTCGAAACTACATTTTAAAGATTTTAGGTACAATTTTTAAACTTTCAAGTTTACTTTGATTCGATTTAAATCAGAGTTGTTATTTAAGGAAGTTTATTACCAAGTCCGTGTGTAGCATTTATAATTATAAACTAAAAATAATATATAAATTTTTGCTATAGGTTTTAAATATACTTAAGGCTAATCACCTGAATCAAACAACCTACGAAATTCATTCTTCCTTTGATCTCTATACAAACAAGTCAGCTTAACATTTTTAAAGGCGAAATTTTGCAGGCAAATCAAGTTATAACCAACATTTAAGTTCAAATTAAAAAAAAAAAAATTTAGAACCGATAGTTTTTCATAGCAACCAAGATATCAATTGCCCACTGTACTTTGAGCCCTAATCGTCAAACTTTTTGGTATTATTTTCACATTCCAGCGACGGTCCCACTTGCGTGTTCTCTCCCATTTCGTGACGTGTCTGCGGTACATTTATTAAAAATCGACTTTATCCTTAAAATACCGGACAAATAGCCTGCAGAAGAGCAACATGGTGGAGCTGTCGAGCGTGATTTCCAAATTCTACAACGACTACGTGCAGAACACGCCCAAGAAGCTGAAGCTGGTGGACATCTACCTGGGCTACATTCTGCTGACCGGCATCATCCAGTTTGTTTACTGCTGCCTGGTGGGCACCTTCCCGTTCAACTCCTTCCTGTCGGGCTTCATCAGCACCGTCAGCTGCTTCGTCCTGGCCGTGTGCCTCCGGCTGCAGGCCAATCCCCAGAACAAGACCGTATTTGCCGGCATTTCGCCGGAGCGCGGATTCGCAGACTTCATCTTCGCCCATGTGATCCTGCATCTGGTGGTGATGAACTTCATCGGTTAACACAAAGCTATGTTCTGTGCGACTCGTATATATTTATAATAAAAATGTAACTCTAATGGTAGACCTTTCTGTAAGCGCCGAGAAAATCGAAGGGTTCCTGTGTATAGTCCAATCGTAGCTCGGGTTCCTTAATGGACATTGCAATGGGATCCACCTTCTCGACATAGTCGGCTAGTTGGGGCTCATTGCTGACCTTGCTTGGCTCTGATTCCTTGGTCGGCTTGTCCTTTGAGGCCACGCGCTTGAGCTTGAGCGGCTCCAGCACCGAGTCGTTGACATTCAGGGGCACCAGATTCTTGAAAACAGTCTGGTCCGGCGGAAAGTTCATCTTCTGGGTTACCTTTTGGGGTAAATGGAATCGCTTTAAAAGTTGTTCTACGTTTATTGAAGCCAGGACTTACCTTTGGAGCTATGGCTGCCGCAGCTTCCGGCGAAACATTAGTGTCTGCCAGCATCTTGGTTATCTGGGTTATGATGTTAATATCGTTCTGCTTGTGCACCGGAAAGTGTCTCCTGGACGTAAAGCCTCCACTTTTTTTCTTAGAACTGTCCGGCATCGGGATCTCCACGTCTATACCAAGGCAGGACCCGATTGTGACATGCGGAGGAGCCGTCGAGGGTATGGCCGATTGGACTCGTCGTGTGGCGGAGTTCTTTTGGTTCACATTAAGTCGGGACTTGCGTTTGTGAGGCATTTTGAACAAAGCCGCAAGGACTACAAAACTACCTTTCCAAGTCACTCTGATTTTAAACAGCACGCCACACTGATGCGGCAATTTTGCAGCACTGGTGGAGACAGCTGTTCCACAGTAAAACTTCTGATTCAAAAGAGTTATTCATCACTTTTTTTTATTGAAATTAAATAGGATTAGTTTACTTAAATATTCCCAATTACTAGAAATTGGAACTATAAAAGTATTGGTCTTTGAAGAGTATTTATAGTTTTGTTTTAAAACAATTTAATAATTTTGCTAATTTGTACATGTTAAATAACTCCTACTTTTCTCTTTTGGGAATAGCTACTGTAAGCAGCACAGCAATGCCGGTTCTTGCGTTTTACAACACTGCTCTCCACCTGCAGCTGATGGTTGGGCTCGAACCAAATATTTTGATTTATCCGAAAAATGGCTTTATCCCGAGCTAAAACCGACGACCTGCCCAAAGATGCCGTTGTCATCACAGAGGATCAGGCCCTGAAGTACCAATGGAAGATCATAACTGCCTGGGACAAAATTGGCGATGTGTGAGTGCAAGACACCTCCAAACGAACGCTTACCTAACAATCAAAACCCAAATAATTTCTTATAGATGGTCCCTGCGCTACGGTCCCGGAATTCTTAGTGCCATGGCCGCCGGAACGGGCGCCTACATCAATAACCACTATCGCACCAAGCTGCGACTGGGAGGACATGGTCGGTTGTCCAGCTACCTGCCCATTGTCGCTGTTCCCGCCATTTTCACCATGCTGGCGCACAAATTCTTCATCCAGAGACCTATTCTGCTGAATCCACTGGGCGAGTGCCCGGTATGCATTCAGGTGCGCAGTGCCTTCTTTCAAACCAGCCTGGGCATTGTGTATCCCACGATCTTGGCTCCATTCGCCGCATTTATGTTTGCCACCAGATGCTACACATACCGCATTCCCTCGATCACGGAGAATCCGCGCGAGGTGTTCCAGTTGTGGCGAAAGATCACCCGGCCCATTGTGCCCGCTTTGGGTACCATCATCTGCCTTCAGGCCCTAATCACTATGTTCCTCACCGGCCAGGAGGACAAGCAGAACTTCAATCTGATGCTGCGCATGCGGGAGATCGAGCACCAGCTGGAGGAGGAACACCTGCCTCAGCGAATCGACTTTTAATTGTTTTTATCTTGTTAACTGGCTGAAATAGAGACGCATTTTTGGATTACTTTAAATGTTATTTGTGATTTTAGTGGTTTGTTACGGTTTTGGAAGCTACTTTGGCACAAAGTTGTCAAAGGAATTATACCTAGTTACATATCTTTCAAACAATAATGCTTATTTTTGTTTTAATTGATTATAGCTTTTTATTAGTTTATTAAAAGTGGCGCATTATTGAACCTAATGTATCCAAGTGTAACTTAATGTGTCCAAATGTAATTTTTTTGGGAGTTAATAATCGGATACTTCATTAAAATCTTTATATTGATTATTCCTTTCAAGCTCAGTTCTAAATGCTCAAATTAAAAAACTGTTATTTAAAAAACAAGTTTTATACCATCCCTGAACTTATCGATAGCCTGGTAAACTTGCCGCATTGCCTATCGGAACTATCGAAAGGTGCGAGTCCCTCACACGTTGCTGCAGTCGGCTGACGAAATTGTTTTGCAATTGCATTTACTGTTGAAATCGTGAGTAATACATAGCTTGTTTTGGCTTGGCAGCTCCTAACCTTAAATATAAACAAATGGATACTCTTCTGACTTAATTTTCCACTCACTTGTGTAACTCTGTCACGTACTGTGCAGTCTGCACTTTCACTGCTCCGAATTGTAAGCCATTTTTAAGGGGTTAGGGAGCCCCAATTGTCGCGTGGCATGATATATGTATATTCAGTTCACCCACTACTTGCCCATTGCAGAACCAGCAAAATGAAATACCTGACCGCCAAGGAGGTGCGCGATGCCTATTTGGGCTTCTTCAAGGAGCAGAAGCACATCTACGTTCACTCCTCCAGCACGATTCCGCTGGACGATCCCACGTTGCTGTTCGCCAACGCCGGCATGAATCAGTTCAAGCCCATCTTCCTGGGCACCGCCGACCCCAACAGCGAGATGTCCAAGTGGGTGCGCGTGGCCAACACGCAGAAGTGCATCCGTGCCGGCGGCAAGCACAACGATCTGGACGACGTGGGCAAGGATGTCTACCATCACACCTTCTTCGAGATGCTGGGCAACTGGTCCTTCGGCGACTACTTCAAGAAGGAGATCTGCTCCTGGGCCTGGGAGTTCCTCACCCAGCGCCTCAGCCTGCCCAAGGATCGCCTGTATGTGACGTACTTCGGTGGCGACGAGGCCAGCGGTCTGGAACCCGACCTGGAGTGCAAGCAGCTGTGGCTGGACCTGGGCCTCAAGCCGGAGCACATCCTGCCGGGCAGCATGAAGGACAACTTCTGGGAGATGGGCGAAACTGGACCCTGTGGTCCCTGCTCCGAGCTGCACTTTGACCGCATCGGCGGACGAAGTGTGCCGGAGCTGGTCAACATGGACGATCCCGATGTCCTGGAGATCTGGAATCTCGTGTTCATCCAGTTCAACCGCGAATCCGACGGCAGCCTCAAGCAGCTGCCCAGGAAGCACATCGACTGCGGCATGGGCTTCGAGCGACTGGTGTCCGTCATTCAGAACAAGCGTTCCAACTACGACACTGATCTGTTTGTGCCCCTCTTCGAGGCCATCCAGGCGGGCACTGGTGCCCCAGCCTACCAGGGACGCGTGGGTGCCGACGATGTGGACGGCATCGACATGGCCTACCGCGTGCTCGCCGATCACGCCCGCACCATCACCATTGCGCTGGCCGATGGCGGCACTCCGGACAACACGGGTCGTGGCTATGTCCTGCGACGCATCCTCCGACGCGCTGTGCGGTAAGTAGTTACATACTAGTTAGTTATGTTACATATTTAAACATATAATTATTTTTCTGCAGCTATGCCACGGAGAAGCTGAATGCTAAGCCCGGTTTCTTCGCCACCCTGGTAAACACCGTAGTGGATCTGCTTGGTGACGCCTTCCCCGAGGTGAAGAAGGATCCGCAGCACATTATTGATATCATCAACGAGGAGGAGTTGCAGTTCCTCAAAACACTGACGCGCGGGCGCAATTTACTGAACCGCACCATCGAAAAGCTGGGCAACCAGACCATCATTCCCGGCGATGTTGCCTGGCGGCTGTACGACACCTACGGCTTCCCAGTCGATCTCACGCAGCTGATGGCGGAGGAGAAATCCCTGCAAATCGATATGGATGGCTACGAGGCAGCCAAGCAGAATTCATATGTGCTGTCACAGGGCAAGGGTGCCAGCAAGATCGATGAGATCAATCTGGACGTGCACGGCATTTCCCAACTCCAGGAGCAGGGAGTGCCCCCCACCAACGACAGCTTCAAGTACAAGTACGAAGCGGTTTCGGAGGAGCGAGACTCGGCCTACAACTACGGTGTGTGCAACAGCAAGATCGTAGCCCTGCGTTTCGAAAATCAGTTCGTGAACGAGATCAGCAGTGGACAGAAGGCGGGCATTGTCCTGGACAAGACTAACTTCTATGCCGAGAGCGGTGGTCAGATCTATGATCAGGGTGCTCTGGTTAAGGTCAACGACGAGGCAAACGAATTCCTGGTGGATCGCGTCTACAACCGCGGCGGCTACATCCTTCACATCGGCGTGGTCGAGGGAACACTGAAGGTGGGCGACGAGCTGGAGCTGCACATCGATGTGGAGCGTCGCTGGCTGACCATGAAGAACCACTCGGCCACCCACGCACTCAACCACTGCCTGCTGCAAGTTCTGGGTAAGGACACCGAGCAAAAGGGGTCACTGGTGGTGCCAGAGAAGCTGCGCTTCGATTTCAACAGCAAGGCCGCAATGACCATCGAACAGGTGGCCAAGACGGAGCAGTTGACCAAGGATATGGTGTACAAAAATGTGCCCATCTACGCCAAGGAGTCGCAACTGGCGCTGGCCAAGAAGATCCGTGGTCTGCGTTCCGTCTTCGACGAAGTCTACCCCGATCCCGTGAGGGTCATCTCCTTCGGCGTGTCCGTGGACGAACTGGAGCAGAATCCCGATTCTGAGGCCGGCGAACAAACCTCCGTGGAATTCTGCGGCGGCACTCATCTCAGGCGCTCGGGACACATCATGGATTTTGTCATCAGCAGCGAAGAGGCCATTGCCAAGGGTATCCGTCGCATTGTGGCTCTTACTGGACCCGAAGCTATGAAGGCGTTGAAGAAATCTGAGGCTTTTGAACAAGAAATCATCCGACTTAAGGCCACCATCGATGCGGATAAGTCTGGCAAGGACTCCAAGTCGCATGTCAAGGAGATTGTCGAGCTGACCGAACAGATCTCGCATGCCACCATTCCGTACGTGAAAAAAGACGAAATGCGCAACCTGCTGAAGGGCCTGAAGAAGACGCTGGACGACAAGGAGCGTGCCCTGCGCGCCGCCGTCTCTGTGACCGTCGTGGAGCGCGCCAAGGCGCTGTGCGAGGCCAATCCCAAGGCCACCGTGCTGGTTGAGCAGCTGGAAGCCTTCAACAACACCAAGGCCCTGGATGCCGCTCTCAAGCAGGTGCGCAGCCAGCTGCCCGATGCCGCTGCCATGTTCTTGTCGGTCGACGCGGACTCCAAGAAGATCTTCTGCCTGAGCTCGGTGCCCAAGAGCGCCGTGGAGAAGGGTCTGAAGGCCAACGAGTGGGTGCAGCACGTCTCCGCCACTCTGGGTGGCAAGGGCGGTGGCAAACCGGAGTCCGCCCAGGCTTCGGGCACAAATTACGAAAAGGTGGACGAGATTGTCGAACTGGCCAGCCAGTTTGCCCAGTCCAAGCTGTCTTAAATGCATCCAGAACTAACCTTCAATTACTCACAATTTTGATACACCCTTATGCTTAATCCTAATCCGTTGATCTGTTTCAAACAGCATTTCAGATGAATTTTACGGCTATTTATAAAATAAAAGCATTTATACACTTATAATAAATAATGGCGTTTGGCTTTGAGGGAAAAATATACATAGAAGTTTAATGATTTATGATTATCACAATAAAAGTTAAAGCCATGAATTGAACTCATTAAGCACATTTAATTATTTCTGAAACACTACTGATAATAGTAATTTCTTATAGAATATTACAATAAATTAAAAATTCGTCAATAACTATATATATATATATATATGTATATATAACTATTTCTTTTCATTTGAATTACATAATATGTAAGCCTAAGTTTTATTCTTCTGTATTATCCAATCCACTGCAGCGTCAAAGTTTTCCACCAAAGCTGTCGGTGGTGGCGATGGATTGACATCTGGCAAGTATTTGCCAGTCTTGACCAAAATTCCCTGCATGCCCACGCTCATGGCGCCCACAATGTCATCATTGGCATCCTGCAAAACAGCAAGTTAGAACAGAAACTAAAACATATTATGTGGGCCAACTAACATCTCCTATCATAACGCAGGAGGCGGGATCTCGGCCATCAAGAGCTCCCTCGAAGAAATACGGATTGGGCTTGCCAATCACTTTGGCGGTTCGTCCTGTGGCGTACTCCAGACCCTTGACGAAGCATCCGGGACCCAGAGCCAGTCCATCGGCACGCTTGTAGTATTTACCCTGATGCACGGCCACCAGTTTGTGGTTCTTATTCTCCAACAGGACACTGAAGGAAAGATGATTATTAGGTAAATAAAGATGGCTGCATCAGGATGCCCACTTGAAAGCCTCGTTCAGCCGGTCATAGCTAAAGGCATTGGGTGCCAGGCCAATCACCACTGAATCCTTGTAGCGCCTGGTATCCTCCGGTGGAAAATCCTGGCGCGCATCATCGGACAGAATGTAGTACGGATTCAGTTTCTCGTTCTCCACAAACGCGATTGCAGCACTCAAGGAACTGTATATCTCCAAGGGGTCCAGCTGGAAGCCAATCCTGCAGAGCCTTGCGTGTAGAGTGGCCTTCGAGTCCTTTGTGGTATTTGTAACGAACTTGACCGCGACGCCAGCATCACGCAATCTTCACAGGACACCCAGGTATGTTATAAACAAATATTTGGTTTTACTTGTCAATACCAAACCTTTTTAAAGCCTCGACCGCATTCGGAGTGGGTTCATCTTCAACGTGCAAGGTGCCACTGAGATCGATGAGGGCTGCTTGAATGGACATCCTTGCAAAGCTCCTGCTTCCTCTCAAGAACAAAAACATTTGCAAATTTCCAGCTGGTTCGATAATTCTCCGATAGACTTTTCGATAGGTTTTGCATCAGCAGGTTGATTTGCCATGGGCGTAGACTTTGTGTAGACCCTTTTAATTACTTTGATTTTTATTCTTTGTTTACAAATATTGAAAATGTTAGCTTAAACATTTATAAACACTAATGTTTTTTTTTTATAAATCGATTGACTTCGCTATAAAATAAACCTAAATCTCAAGACTACCAACAAATCCCTCTCTTTCCAATGCATTTCTATTGACTACGCCCATGTTCTCCTGTTCTTCGCAATGTTGTTTATAACCGGTAGATCTTTCCTAGCGCGGTTTTCCTTAGATATATCCAAAAATGCTAAGCCAATTGGACTTATAGCCAACTATTGCCAGGCAGCCACTGCCCTGCGTCCAAAGAAGCCGAAATCCACCCGAAAAGAGGTAAGATCTTCAGCACTAAATGGATTTTACATAACTTGTCCGTTCGTTTTGATTCCCCATCCAGGCGCAGTACTTTTCCGATGCCAAGAGGATTCGCGCCATCGGCGGAAAAGGCGGCGATGGCTGCGTGTCCTTCCTGCAACTGTGGTGCAACGAGAGGGCCGGTCCGGATGGCGGCGATGGTGGCCATGGCGGCCATGTAGTGTTCCAGGCCTCCAACGATGTGCGCAACTTCAACCACGTGGACAGTATACTGAAAGCAGAGGAAGGAGAGCGGGGTGGCTCCAAGGATTGCCATGGCAAGAATGCTAAGCATGCTGTGATCAAGGTGCCCATTGGAACCGTTATCAGGAATGCCCAGGGACTCATTGTGGGGGATCTGGGCCAGGCGGACCTCATGTTTGTGGCCGCTCGAGGTGGAGCCGGTGGCAAGGGCAATCGCTTCTTCACCACGGACAAGGAAACCAGTCCGAAGGTTTGCGAATATGGCCCCAATGGCGAGGATCTCTCCTACACCCTGGAACTGCGCAGCATGGCAGATGTCGGCTTAATTGGCTATCCAAATGCGGGCAAGAGTACCCTGCTTAATGCCCTGACCCGGGCCAAGCCAAAGGTGGCTCCGTATGCATTCACCACGCTGCGTCCTCATCTTGGCACCGTGCAGTACGATGACCACGTTCAACTTACCATCGCCGATCTTCCCGGACTCGTGCCCGATGCCCATCGCAACAAGGGCCTGGGAATTCAGTTCCTGAAGCATGCCGAGCGTTGCACTCTGCTGCTGTTCGTCTTGGACGCCAGTGCTCCGGAGCCCTGGACACACTACGAGCAGCTCATGCACGAGCTGCAGCAGTTTGGCGGTCGCCTAGCGAGTCGCCCGCAATTGGTGGTGGCCAATAAACTGGACGTGGAGGAGGGACAAAGTAATTTCGAGGAGTTGCAGCGCCGACTACAGAATCCCGTGCTGGGCATCAGTGCCAAGATGGGTCACAATCTGGGACAACTACTGAACAGCATACGCAAAGGATACGACCGCCATAAGGACCAGTCCAAGAACTCCAGTTAAAAGCTTATGTTTTAGTTGTTTTCGATTGTTATTTATAAATTAAAATGTAATCTTATAAGCTACGCAAACGGAAAACACACACTACAAGCCCTCTTCGGATGTGGGCAGCCAGAAGGCCATGTTGGTGCAGGCGGAGGCCAGCATCATGTACTTGGGATTGAATTGGACGCACTGCACTGGCCCCGGATGGTCGCCATTCAGCACGGACACCTTGTTGCCCGTGTCGGCGTTCCAGATATGCACACGTCCATCGGTGCTGCCCGAGAAGATGAACTGCGAGTCCGGGCTAAAGCTGGCCTCGATGGCGATGCCCTTGTTGTTCGGATAGCCGGTGAACGTCTGCAGCGGAGTGCCGTGGAAGGCGTCGACCAGCCGGATGACCGAACCATTTGTGCTGATCAGGATGGTTTTGCCATCCCGCGAGAACTTCAGCCCCGTCCAGTCGCACTCCTTCTCCTGGTTGAGCTTAAACGTGACGAAGGGACCCTTGTCGAAGGAGCGCAAATCATACAACTTGATGCTCTCCGAGTTGACGCCGGCGGCGAAGATCAGGCCCTCGGGATCGTAGGCGGCAATGGGGCGGCCGGAAAGGTGCATCAGGCCCTGGCAGTTGGGCGAGCGCAGGTCCCACAGCCGCAGCGTCTTGTCCAGCGAGCCGGAGAGGAAGGTGTCCTCCACCGGCGAGATGCACAGCGAGATGACCTTTTTTGTGTGGCCTGGGAAGTAACGTAGGTATTTGTTGTCGTGCAGGCTCAGATAACGGATGGTGTCGTCCACCTTCGTGGAACTGTGGATGGCCGTGTTGTTGGCATGCGTGAAGTGGATCAGGTCCACGCCGTACTTCTTTGAGTTCACGGTGCGCGACTGCGTCCCCTTTTCGCAGTCGTAGATCACAATCTGGTCATCCTCGCTGCACGAGATTAGGTGCTCCCCGTTCGGCGCAAAGTCGATCGCGTTGATCTTGTCCGTGTTCTCCCGGAAGATCTTGGCCACCTTGAAGCTCCGCACCACCGAATCTATTAGTTTTATCTTCATTTTGATCCGCCGGATTCTGTTTTGTTTTCAATCTTTTTTTCGACGCGAGGCTCTGTTAGTGAAGGCAGATGTCCACGGCTCGATTGGTGGTTGCGTTATCGTTATCGAACCACTGAGTTGCAAATGGTTCCGGGATGAACCAGTTTATTTAAAATATTTGAAAAGCTCGCTTTATATTAACGGCTGTTTCAAGTTTAACAAATAAACAAAAGTGTTATTGAAAATGAATTTATAGAACAGCCAAAAAAAAAATTTCTTTATAAGAAATGTGGCACAACCATTCTTTTAAATAACAAACAAAAAAGTAAATAAATTATAAATAAATTTTAAACGGAATTGTAAAACATAGCTTTAGGAAACTAATAATAAAACGTATTTAAAACTATTTAACAAGCCCAAACATAGCCAATGAATAAAATCACATTTTTTGGTCAACAACAACATTTAAGTATATATTTGTCGTAAAGCAAAATGTGATGCAAAGCGTTAAAGAGGCAACATAAATGTAACTACATTTTATAATGTACAAGTGAAATTTTTAATGGTCTATTAATTTATTTGCTGCGGAGGGCAGTCACAGGTGATACTGTGGGTATTCCCTAGCAGCTCCTTGGGGTCAACGTACACAGCGCCCTCCTTGCCTCGCGCAAATGGTGTTTGACCGTTGGTTTGTAAGTAAAAGTCGCCATGTATTCTGCAAATTACAATTTCAAATGATTAGATCCAAAGTCGGCTGTATCGTGAATGTCTATGACTGAGTTCTTACGTCGTCGGACAATGATGACCCATCACCACTGGCGTGCATGTCTCCCCAATTTTGTTTTGCTTAAAGTCCGACCATTTCTTTGCGGGCACAGCATCGAAGCGGATGGGATACCGATCCGAGACACTCTCAGCCCAAAACCACCAGCTGCGCCGATGGCTGGACAGATCGTTGTCGCTGAGCATTTTGTAGTTCCGTTTGGGACAGCCCGGCTGCAGGCTACCACCTCCGTTGGGCCAGAAATCCGCCGTCCCAGTGCTCGTGGGAGCACCGTAGAGCCAGGCATCCGTGTGTATCACATCCACAAACTCCGCATCATTGGCGGACAGGTGGGCGCCCGGATAGAACAGCGGAAAGGCGGGATCCAGGGCGGAAATTCTACAAGAATTTCAGTTAGATTAGCAAGAAAAGAACAGGCTTAAATTAAGAGTAAATATTAAAATAAAATTGTTTTTTTTTTTTATAATATGAGAAATAAAAATAGCAATCTAATGAACAGATATTCTTAAGCGGAATATAATCTCTGTTTGAAAAATCTATATTCCGCTTTATAATATTTTTAGGTAATATTTAATATTATAGCATTTCTTGTGGAGTTGAAATAATATTGATAACTAATATTAAATATATTAATATTTAAAAATGTAATGTATATTCAGAAACTGTATAAAAAACTCTCACCTTTTAAGCTTCATAGCACCTTTGGTGCGTTTGATAATCTCCCGGCCGAGAACTCCAGCCAGTTGGCCACCCATCGAGTGACCGACAAGGTGAAACGTCTCAATGTCCAGGCCATGTTCAAACATTTGGATGAGGACCTTGGCCAACTCGGGACCCAGTTGCTTAAGGTTGGGGAAGGCATCGAACATGTAGTTGCCATCGGCCAGCTCGCCCCAGTCCAGAACGATCAGATTGGTATCCTTACGTTCCAGATAGGCCTCCGCTATGACGTGAATGCTCTCCACATCCGGATCTTCGAGGTAGCCATGCAAATAGAGCACGGTATTCTTGCACATGTCCAGGTGTTCATCGTCCAGCAGACTTTGGAAATCGGTTAGGTCATAGATATCGCTATCTGCTACCGTGGGTCTGTGGATGAGATTATAAAATTTTAAATAAATTATTGGCTAACAATTAAAGATACTTAGAACCACATGTTGCTGTAACATGGCATGTTTATGGCATTGATTTAATAATTAATTATGATAATATTTTAAATATTTACCCATAGTATAGTATAAACTTCGCTGTCGTCAGATCCGCCTTGGAGTTTTTGAGCCCACACAGCAACCCTGAGCGATAATTATCCAAATCGTATTAGCGGAATTTTCCATTTTCGCCCACTCACTTACTGGATTTGTTTTTAATGGCCTTGTGCATGTTACTTGGGGGTCTGGCGGCTATTAGTCCATAAAATGATTGATTACGTGGCCAGTGGTTGTCCGGATATCCTCTGCTTCCATGCGGTGATTGGCAACGACTGGGCCGGACACTCGGTTAGCCGGATTAGTGTGGCGTGGCCTAAAACCCATCGAAATTGATAACTCTAATTAAATTTCAATATTTTTGTCGGATAAGATAGTGCGAGCCTTGCGGCATCATGAATCACATGAGTGGCACCAACGGCGGCAAAGTCCGGCTGGAGGTCCAAACTTTTGCCTGTCCATGCATAATTCATGTGTGCCCACAGTGGAACATCCGATTTTGGGCACTTGAATGTTTCCAGCCACAAATTAATCATCCACTTCTAGCGGCTGAACAAGTCTAATCGAACATTAATCCCATTATGCACTTGAGAAGTCATTTTAACGTGATTGGGTAAAAGCAATAAATGAAAGCAGTAAAGTATAATCGTCAGATAGTCATTCCCATTTAATAAAAATTGCAACATTAACGGTTTCGTCCAACAAAGTTAACCAGTTTTCAATTACAATAAAAATAATTGCAACTTTTGATCTATTAGCTTTGCTGAATTCAATTAACTATTAATTGTCTATTACAATTTGTTAAGCAAAATAAAAACAAATTGTAATAGACAAACAACACTTTTAATATCCGTTCCCCGTTTATGATTTATACTTGCCATTTTGATTTATGCCTAATAAAATAAATCATTAAAAGCTCATCTTATAAATAAAAAAATAATATAAAATGACCTAGTCACCCTAGCCATTAAACCTTGTCTATGGGCCGTTAAAAAAGCCATAAAACTGTTATCTAAACCAGCTATTACAAAAATAAAGATTTATGCCTGTCAAGGTGACAGTTCAACAAGCTTTAGGGCCCACTGTCTATTGCCACAGATTACCTTAACCCGCGTCTCAATGAACAAACTACAATGCTTAAATATGCAGACTTGAAATTACAGCAATGCCATGTACACACTTGTGAGCTACAGTCAAACTGCCTTAAATTAAACCAACACACATATGTGCCTAAGAATGGTCTTAGGGAAAACTTTTATACTGGACTGCGCAAATAAATTAGAGATAAATATTAAAAGATCACATTCACAACATTATAAAAAAATTGGAGTTGATAAATATAAACATAAAAATGTAGAACTGCTATCTCCAATATTGGACTGCATAAGTAATTAAAAAATGTTTCTTATCAAATGTTATAAAAATGATATCTTTACTTTCGGTGCTTATAAATTAGTTTATTATCAAAGCTTGGCCTTAGGAATTTTTTTTAAACAATTTATTTACACAGTGAAAATAAAGTTAATATACAACATTGCACAGTCAAAGAGAAAATATTATAAATATTTTCGATTATTAAGCTTTTAAGATGTGGTCCTTTAATAAAAGAAAATATTCGACTTAGGGAAGCTCGACTGTAAAACGGTGTGTAATTTTGTGTGGAAACCTTCCCAACGCAATCGTAATTCGGCCTTTTTTTTTTGCCTTTATTTAGCCGCCCATTCTACAGACATACATAAATAAAAGGCACTTCAATTTATACTCCACCTTATCGGTGGAAAACTAGCCGTCAGATAATGCCGATTAATGGGTGAGGGGAGAGGGGGGGATCCGGCGCCTATCAAAGGCAAAAATAACGCTTAGTAAAACGCGCCACTTGGGGACAAAAGGCAAAGAAATAAAAAAAACTGATATAGCTAGATAATACCACAATAATTGTTGTAACAGCTCAGCATTTTTGACATATGCGATTAATAAACGCGTATTTTATAGGGTATAATTATACGGACACTTGTTGCGTCGTCCGGGGGGCAGGTGAACCCCGCAGATCGTAGGTCAGTGGACGGAAAACGGACGCGGAGATTACGGAGATTGCGACACCATTGGGGAAATTGATAATGGTCGGCACTCGCCTGTGTTTCTGTATTTGTTGGGCGCACCACCAACACCAGTGCTTCCGTATATACATATGCACATAATTGATTGGTTTCGGTTCGATTCCACCCATATTTGCCCACTCTAATTTGCATTTGATTCCCCCATTGACGCGCCACTCCACGGTGATTTGGGGCTCGAGCGCCAGCCGACTAATTCAATGGCACTTACGAGCTGCGAGGGGAATCGAATTCGAAATCGCCAGTTAGTTAGACAAACATTTGCCCACGCGTTGGGGACCGACTAAATGCATACGAACGCTTCGCCCCGTCGCAAAAATTCAACTGATCTCTCGCTCAAAACTGCTCGCCACCGCAAACCAAACAAACAAGAAATAAACCCCAACTATCGCCAGGTATCAGTTTGGGGGGGACTATCGATATTTAACTTAATTTCACAGTCAAAATTTGTATTTCTAAAATTGATATTCAGTTTTTAATAATACAAAAAATGTAATTGAATTTAAAATTTTGTTTTATGAGTTTTTTAAAAGCATAAAAATCATATAGAGTGTTCTCTCAGTAGAAAATGTTTTTAATCTAAACAATAAATGGGGAAGATGTATCATTTGAGTCATATAGAGTGTTTTCTCAGTGAAATTGTTTATAATCTAAACAAATAAAGGGGAAAATGTATCACAGATGTGATCATAGTTATTTTAAAGTAAAACTGAAAGTCCAAAAAATTATTAAGAAACAAAATTATTTTAATAACAGATCAACAAAATTGAATAGAATTTAAATGCAGCATTAGAGGGTGTTATAAAAGCATAATTTAAATGGCAGAAATGAATAATTTAATAAAAATCTATTGTATATCAAACAATTGATTCATAGTTCTCCCGTTCTAAGTATAAAACAAAATAAAAAAATCAATTGATTGTTGTTTCACTACAATTTTATTTTGCATTCAGATGCGATCAAATGTTCCAAACTCTACACATGTTTTTTTTAATAATGATCTTTATGCCTATGTGGTAATTTATATATAATATAAGTATGTAAGTAATAATGTTTAGCTGTGTCGCGTTTAGTGGTTCTCCCTCCCGTGCTGGCCATGGTGGCACTTCTCCGGTCCGCTCCTCTAATTTCCGAATCCTCTAACTTCCAAATCCAAACTCTATCCATTATCCAGCATCGGCTGCAGCGTTGAACACCTCCCGGGGATCCACTACAAATTTCCGTTCTTAAGTGTTGTTGCTACATAATATGTTTTGTTGCCGGCGTTAAATACATACAGTTTTAAAAATAGAATAAAAAAGATGCAAGAAGGTTGATTACGCTGTAAACAATTATACAAATATATTATTGCACACGGACACAGAGTGGTATAACACGAGAGACGAGAGCCACGTGGTGGAGATGATATACCGGGAAAGAGACAGAAAAAGTTGGCACAACATTAGTATCGGTTATTACTAGGTCCACTGCACTTAAACTTTAATCTTTCATTTAGCTTCGTTATCTTGAACAAACAATGAGATGTGAGACGTTGAGAGGGGAATTAAACGACATTGGGGGTGTGAAACTGAAACTGGCTGGAGACAGCGGGAGGCACACATCACACTTGTTGGTTGGCTGGTTGGCTACTCATCCTCTAACATTCCGATTCAACCTTGGCGGCCACCTCCACTGCCGCCGCTGCCTGTCCGTTCATCTCCTGCAGAATGCCATCTTCAGACGCCGGCGGTGCTGGCGGCTCTACGATCAGCTTCGAATTCATTGCCGCCTCCAGTTTCGCACCCATGCAAGGCGGCACCGCCGTTCTAAACACATTCAGTTCCATTTCTACAGCAGGATAGCAATTTAAGTTAAAGGTACTCCCTATGACTTGATTATTTTTATGATTAATTTGTGTATCTTTGTGTATTTCATGTTTGGCTGCTCACTGCGGCACATATTTGTATATTTGTGAAACCCTAACATTAATGTTCTATGCCAAGTGAAATCTAAACATCTTTTAAGATTCTGACACCTTACAAATCAATAAACAAAATCAAAATATCAAAACTATGGTAAAAATCAAAATCGTTTGAGAATGTATACCAAACATAATGGCTTGAATAAGAAAATATTATATTAAATAATATTGTTTCAACATTTGTCTAGGAAATTCCCATAAATACCTAAATTCAAGTATTTTCATTGCTTTCTTACTAACCTTTTTTAGTGTAGTTTATATTAACATTGGATTTTTATAAAAAGCTAGCCCAATTATCCCCGCCCTGCAAAACCCAATGAATTTTAGATTAATTAGTGCTTACCTGCTGCGATGCCGGCAATGGCCTGTGCAGCAAAATGCTTGACGTCCACATCAGTGTCCGCGTTCAGTTTGTCGAGTGTGGGCTTCACCTGGGCATCGATGACGCTGGCCTCTAGGAAGGGCGAGATCTTCTGCAGGGTCTTTGCCACGTTGAAGCGCACATTGGCCACGGGATCGGCGGCGAGCAGGAGGACTGTGGGCAGCAGCAGCCTGGTGGTGATATCTGTGCCGCAGACCTCGGCCAAAACGTTCAGGCAGAACAGGCAGGTCATTCCTATCAAACGAAACGTTACCAATGAGATGCCTCAAAAGCCTTGATCATTTCTATGCCCATCACTCACTGTGCAAATAGTTCTTGTTGCGCGACATAACCAGGATCATGGGAATGATGGCCTGCTCGGCCCATGGAGCGCCGAACTGCTCGACCAGCTTCTTCATGTTGAGGGTGGCCGCCTCCCGAATGGCGTATACGTGATCGTTGAGCCAGCCCATGCAGAGGCCGCGCAGCTTCTGGTCGAAGAACTCCTGACCCAACTGACCGGCCAAAGCGGGCATGTACTCGATGATGGCCAAACGCACGCGCCACTTGGAGTCCTCGGCCAGTTCGACGATGGCGGGCAGCAGCGATTGCGACAGTTGCTGGATGCCGATGACGTCGTTCACGCAGTCCAGGTTCGAGATGATATTCAAGCGCACTTCCGGGCACTCGTCCTTCAGTTGAATGAGGAACAGGGGCAGCAACTGCTCCACCGTCTGATAGGCGCCCAGCATCGGACTCAAGCCCATGATCACAGAGGCCAGGGCGGACTTGACATGTGGGTTGGGGTCCGAAACCAGGTCGCGCACATACGGCAGAATGGAGCTTAGGATGATTTGCACCTGGTTAACCTTGTCCAGGTTGGCACAGAAGTCCTTCACCTTGGTGGCCACGGCAGCACGAACCTCGGCCTCGGCATCCTTGAGCAAGTACTGGAAGGCGGGCACCAAATCCACCCGGGTGATCTCCGGACCCACGGCCTTTTGCAGGTCCACAAACTTCTCGGCCACCATGTAGCGCACCCTCCAGGAAGAGTCGCTGGCGCACTGGCGCAGCGTGGGCAGAACCAGCTAAATATTGATGGGATTTTGTTTTTAAGTCAAAGTGTAAGTTATTTCTTTGCTTATCCACTTACGTGCTCCACATCGTCCTGGGGCAGCAACTGGGCAATGCTGACACAAGCCTCCACAGCCAGCAGACGAACAGAGTCCTGAATTGTGAGTTAAGTTAAGTATAATAAGTAAATGGTCAACAAAATAACAGAATGATGATTTTCCGCACCCAAGCTGCATCGTCCAATTGCCTTTGCTTACATTGTTCATATTTACTTGTTTATTTTTGGCAACAACAGTTTTATAAATATTTTGAGCTTTTAATGTTTTATAAGGGGTTTATATTAAAATTCCTTAGTAATGTAATCAAATTCAGCGTTGGAATGTTTAAAAAACCACTTAACGATGCAACAAAGGGCAGTAAATAAATTTGATCTGTGTAAATACCTGATCATCTTGAGCCAGTTGCACAAAGTTTGGAATCAAGTCGGACTTGAGATACTCGGTCTCCACGACCTTGGCAAACTCGCCCAGCTTGTTGGCAGCTGCCCGACGCACCATGGGGGTCTCGTCCTGGCAGAGCTTGCGGAAGTTGGCGCGCAGCTCGGCCTTCACCGGCTGTGTGACCCGCGGATAGCAGACCGAAAAGAGGCCGCAGGCGGAGGTGCGTGAGGTGAACCAGTCGCCGGACACCAGACGCTGTAGGGTCGGAACCACATGGATCTCCAGATCCTGGGCACTGTGCTCGGCGGCCACGGTGCGCAGAGATTCTACGGCCTTGTCCCGCACCACAGTCTCCTCCACGGTGGCCAGACTCTCTAGGGGCGGGATCAAGTACATGGCAAACTCGGGTCCGCCGACAAGACCTGTTAACGAAAAATGGGAAATGATTGGGGGATCTCATAAGAACAATCACAATCCTTTTGCTCACTTGTAAAGTTGCCCAGTTGATCGGCCAGAGCCAACAGCACCTCGTCTTCATCGTAAATGGTCTCAGTGAGGAAGGGAATCAACTCGGATCTTGTGCGTTCCTCGCCCAAAGCCAGGGCGATGGTGGACAGCTTCTTAATGGAGTTAAGCCGCAGCTGTTAGGCAGAAATAGGAAACGGGATTAGTTGTAGACAAAATAGAAAAGAAAAATATTCTTGGTGGAATTTGATAAGAAAAATGTATATATTGACTGTTTAATAAATAGCAATACTAAATATATGATGTCGATTACCAAACTGCCATTTGTTTACCCGTTCTCTTTCGCACCAGAGCAAAATAATTTAAGGTGTGGTCATCAATCATTTATTTATAAATCAAACACAACCATAGTTGATCTTTTGATGGTGTCAATAATTGTGGTCAATCAATGTGATACTTTTTTATTTACTGAAAATAATTTTAATTTATGTTTAAATGATATTTTTCTTAAAACGCTGAAGGAACTAAAGCATTCTTAGGATTACAAAAGTTTATCGAAAGAATTAAATAGCTTTCTAGCATCTTTTAAGGTTAAAAACAGTTTTCCTTATAAGATTAGATTGTCACTTGGATAAGAATGTTTTCTAAGCAAGTAGGTATAAAAGTGCCATTCGGTTTTTACTGATTAGTTAGTTAAATCAATAATAAGTCTCGAATATATATTTATACATCGATAAGTTGCAAATTTTATTAGCAAATAGTTCGTGCTATTAAACGTCTCAAGTAAAAATACCTTCATACACTTTTAACGAAAAAAAAGAAAATGTCAGATTCGTTGAATTTAAGAGCAGATATGAATCTAAGCGATAATGTTAGTTAATTCACTTTCTTAATATTGTTCCAGAAAACATTTAGTTTGTGTATATCGAAAATTTGGTATAATTTATATAGGGCTTTTGGTGCACACTCTCAGCATTCACCCACACACAAAAATAGCCATGCACACACAGTGACGCATTTTTGCACAAATACACAGGCATCCAGGCACGCTTCCCCATTTTAGCACTAGAATATTTCGCAATTTCGGGAAAGTCTGCCGATTTAGATCGAGATTTGGGCGGGGTTTCAGCCCAATACTAACCTGAACATCCTCGTTCTTGAGTTCGTCGATCAGGACCGCAATGGGATATAGAGAATCGTCGACCGATTTGTCGCTCGCTGCCATTTTTTCCGCTGTTGCTGCTGCTGCGCTCACACACACGCACTGAAAATCGGTTTTTCTATTCTGCAGGCAGGCAACTTGATTTTGCCCTCTGGCAATTCGCAATTCGCTTGTTTGGGATCACAAAACAATTTCGCACGTTTCTCCGTTTCGTCTGCTCCGATTCGCCAGTGTTCTACACAATATTCTTTGATTGCTTTTCCAATGAAAATCGTACGTCGTCGTTCCTTGCAAATTATTTTTTTCCCAAGTGACACAACGATAGAGCTGACACGAAAATCGATGTTTATTCGATACTATCGATGTTTGCAGAGCTGGGATGGGATATCGATGGATTTTTAATAGACCGTCTGATTCGCAGGGACTTCAAAATATATATAAATAAAACTAGAACAAGTAATTTGAAATTTTAAGCTATAATTTTGTTTTTAAAATATATTAAAATAAACCTAATGATTTCAAAACATGCCGATATATATCAATATTTCTTTATGGTTTAATATGCAATACTTGTTACTCACAGGCACTTAAATTAAGTTTAGAACGCAAAGCAACAACAACTCTCAGAACCAAGAAAATAAGCATTTTTAAAAAAGAAATACCGAAATTAAATTGACTCAACTTTATTTATGCTTAATTTTCTAGGAAGGTTACAAACTCGGTCAGCTTGAGCAACTGATCATCGTTTGCGCGACTGGGCGGCGCTTCCTGGACCTTGGGTTTAAGGATCACCCGGTCGCCATCCAGTTCTTCAGTCCAATTTAAGGCCGTATAGGCTTTCTTCAGTTCGTCCTCCGACATCAGAGACATTTCTAACAGATTATGCTGGTAGATGGACACATAGGCGGTGCCCATCAGTTTGAACAGCTCCTCGCGTTGTTTAACTACGAATACACTCTTTTGTAAGCCTTATTTAAGAAACGATTATGGGAATAATTACTCAAGAGATCTTCAACAGGTGATTTAACCCTTTCGGACCACTCGTACTTGATGTTTTTGAAGAAATCGGCATAATTATTGTTCTGCAATGCCTGATTGAGCAGGTTAAGCTGGATCAGTTCTTTGTCCTCCTTTAATTTATTCGGAATTCGCATCCACAGCAACTTGGCATCAGCCCTATATCATAATAAGCGTTAAAATTATTGTTGTTGGTCTATTTAATATGCAGAACTTACAGTTTGTTTTGATAGAGATAAATTGCCAGTAATTGCTGGTAGACTTCAACTCCCAATTCGACTTGCTGCGGAAAGCGGTGATCTTTAATGTTTTATACAGTTTAAAGCTTACATTACACCTCACCTCCAGTTCCTCGCTTTCAAGTCGCTCCATTAGCTCACTATATTTATTTAAATGCATTTTTTGATGCTAAATTTTTGGTCTGAAAACAATAATGTGACCGTTTAGCCTGGGATTGTAAATGAAACCTATCCCAAGCAGCTCTGTTTTTGTGTAGAGTTTATCGATATTTAAACTTACCAAATTTTAAAAAATCGTTTAAATAATTGTGCTTTAACAAATGCTAAGCTAGCTAGTTTGTTTATTTTGTTTACTATCATTAATAATTATACGCATATTATTCAATATATCGGCTAGCTGCTTGTTATCGCCACTATCGATAGCCACTTTGACAGGTCTCCACAATCGCAGAGCTGTCAACGTGCTAAAAGTCTCCACCTTCTTTTCGGTGTCAAAAACTAGACTATCAAGATGGGTCGTATGCACGCTCCTGGGTAAAAATGCGATTTTTCAATGTTTCCGATGCAACTGCCCAAAGCTAAATGTTTGCAAATTGTGTTTGCCGTGCGGGATAAGCCAATGAATGTGACATATGCGTTTCCCGGGGGGTTACGTCGGTTGAAAATCGTCCCCAAAGGCAAGCACATGGTGCAGACGTTTCGATTTTGACAGGCGCCGCCATAAACGCGTACTAACAATATCGGTTTTTTGTTCACAGCAAGGGTATTTCCCAATCAGCCCTCCCATACAGACGCACTGTCCCATCCTGGCTGAAGCTGAACGCCGAGGATGTCAAGGACCAGATCAAGAAGCTGGGCAAGAAGGGTCTGACGCCCTCCAAAATCGGTAAGTGCGCGCCCCCTACGTGTTGTTGTTTGAGGTTATGTTAACCGAGTTTCCCGGATTACCGATTGTTTGTAGGCATCATCCTGCGTGACTCGCATGGAGTGGCTCAGGTGCGTTTCGTCAACGGAAACAAGATCCTGCGCATCATGAAGTCGGTGGGTCTGAAGCCCGACATTCCCGAGGATCTGTACCACATGATCAAGAAGGCCGTGGCCATCCGCAAGCATTTGGAGCGCAACCGCAAGGACAAGGACGGCAAGTTCCGTCTGATTCTGGTCGAGTCCAGGATCCACCGCCTGGCCCGCTACTACAAGACCAAGAGCGTCCTGCCGCCCAACTGGAAATACGAGTCGAGCACCGCCTCCGCCTTGGTTGCCTAAGTCGTCGACGTCCTCGATTCGCTAGTTGGTAGTTTGTTTTCAAGTCTTGTGGGGCCTACATTTCCACCAATGTACAACCAATAAACCCAACAATAAAACTGGAAATCGGAACTATTTTGTAGACTCTAAACAATTGCAGTGCAACTTATTTTACTTGAAGGCCAGTGTCGTTGGTAAATACAATGAAATGGATTGACGAATATTAAATCACTTTTGAAGCCCTTCAAAAACGTATTCAAATTTAATAGCTAACGCATTCTTCAACAAATGTCTCTCAGAAATTTCTGAATTGGAACTAAAATTGTATACTGGTTGTCTAAAAGCTTTAATTAACTTGGAAGATTGTAAATACAAAACCAAAACATTGCCCGACTGAAAATGACTGATATATTTAATTTAAATCTCGAAAAACTTCTAAAAAAGAGTATTGCTGTTAGCGCGCCTTCTATTATAATCAATTATTTGATAAACAATCATTTACAATCAGCTTCTTTTGAATTGTAATTGTATTCTGTCACACCATGCAGGGAATGCACACATTTTGATAAAGTTTATTCTTTTTAAATGGATTTTGCAGGAAATAGGAGTTTCATAAAAATAGGAGACAAACAATTTGGTGTTTACGCTTGTGACTCGATAATAAAAAACGGTTATTATTCTTTAAAATTATATCTACAAATAATTTTTAAATTTTATTTATTAATTTAACTATTGGTAATTAGTCCTTTAATTGCACTTGTTGCACCATTTTCATCAAGAAATTGCAATGTACATTCGTTCTTACTCTCCGACCTGCGCACAGGTACAGAGTGCACAGTCTTACTTCTATAAATAGTATACTTCTTAATGGAACATTGTATATTACTAACAAACATGATAAGAAAACGACAAAGCCTAATCAAGTGTTTTAGATAGTTCTGAGAGTGGATTTTTAGGAGGGAATTTTTGTACTGTAAAATCAGAAGTTTATTTTTTTTACAAACTTGAGATATTTAACTGGAAATCTTTACTTATGAAGATTTCCCTTTATATTTCATTTATAGGTTTTTACATCATTACTTATTACTGGTTTTGTTTTTTCTTAACGTAATGAATTTGCATTTTCTATTGACACAACTTATATAATATGCAGAAAATACTTCGTTATAATAATGAAAGTCAAAAATTATAAAGCGACTATTTAAACTTTAAATTATTTGAAATTTAGAAATACATTTTTTCAATATCTGCTAACTGAAGGAGCAAATAAATATGTTTATACTTTGAAGTGTATACATACATACATACATATATGGATGGTTCTAGTAAAAAAACCCAAGTTTGTATGCGTTGGTCAATTTCATAGGTTTATGAAAATCAAAAACTTAATTCTCATGTTTTTTATTATACACAGTGGTATTTCAAAATAGAAAACTCATTAAAAGCGTGTTTTTGAAATTCTAAATACATACAAATTTCAAAACTAATATGAAAGCTTTTTGTTCAAGCTATGGAGACTCCACTGTAGTTTGTGTGCGTCTGGGGTTGGGGGCGAATTTCGTATGAAGAGCCGATGGCCGCCGAAAACCGAAACCGAGCCGCCAGTGTTCAGAATTCCGAATTCAGCATTCATTTCAGTAGCCTGCCGCCCTTTCCGGCGCTCGGACCGAAGTTTGTTTTATTGTTTACTGAATTTATTTAATTTTCCCGTTGCCGCCAGCTGGGCCCGGTCTTCTATCGCGATTTTCTCACGTTCGCCAACTTGGGGTTTTGTTGAATGTAAACAATATTGAAACAAATGTACGTACTCGTAATTCGCAACCAACAGCAATTATTTTAATTGTGCCTCGCCGCCGATTGCTTTGTAATTGTGTGCCTGAAAAAATCCATGTGATTAGATAATTTACAGGCAAACGAAAAACCATCGATGCGGCCTTTATCTGTTGGCAATTATTGTTTGTTGCCTGATAAATGTAATGTATTTGCATACATTTCGATAAAAGTTTCCCTTTTTTGCTAGCAACAACGTGGTACGGTTCACACACCCGCACTTAAATACATAAATATATAAGTAAATATATACATATGTACATGTGAAATGGGCAACGGTATATGCCCGAAGTGCTTATTCTCAGCGGGAGTAAGTGAAAACGGCGGAGAATAAGAAAGAACTACAGTGGATACCAACATATTTAACTTTGGGATTCCAGGAACTCATAGAATGATTTAAATAACCGGTCTCAAACCAACATTCAGTTGCTTTTTTTGGGAACGTCACAGAAACCCCTACGAACGAAATTTGTTTGGAAGTATGAACTATGTATGTACCATATGGGGTTGAAAGAGATCAAGACCTAAAAAATAAATAGTTCATATCTAAATAAATACTTTTAATTCGAACAAGAATTTAACAACTTAATTTGGCAGAATCGTTGTTAATTATCATTGATAATGTTAAATGGAGCAAGTGCATTAAAACTTTTTTAATAATATATATATAATATATTTATTCACCGTATAGCGAAATGGCAACCGAGTGTTTTGTTTTTAGAAACTAAGCTCTTCTCGAATGTTGCCCTTTCCCTTGGCTTGTCGTTAAAACGAACCCTAATAATGACGAATTACAAAACTATGAGCAGTGACACAACCACCATCCTTAATTCCCAACCCATAGTTATGGTGCCTCCACAAATATTACGCTGACTTCTCCGAGTCGTCAGGCCAACGTCAATACGATAAGTAGATAAATAAAACAGCATTTTGTTTGTTTGATTAAGACGTGACGTTGTTGTTTTTGCTCATATCGACTTTTGTTTTAAAAACCACTCAGCAGAATTACATATTTCGCTATCCGCTATTGCTCAATTTATCATTTACTGACTTATACTTCAAGCTTATACCACACTTTGTACACTGTTTTTCAGTTTCTTTAGCGGGAGTACAAAATGCAGTCGGTAAAGACGGCAGATTTGCCGGAAAATCCCCGGGAAACATCCAATTTTATTTCGGCAGCATGTTTCTGGTAAATAAATATTCTTAAATTCATCCATATAAAAATGTTGTAATACTAAAATATATTATTAGGTACACCATGCCCACTTTTATCAAGGGTCGGAAGGACACTTTGGATACCAAGGATCTGTATAGAGCCTTAAAGGAACACAAGTCGGGTATGATGAAACTATGATCATGATTCACCTAATGGTGAATTGCGAAATTCTAAATCGACTTAAGCATAAATACATCATATCAATGCCAGTTGGAAAATCGGTGCAAGTCATAGTTGACAATCAGTCCATTTGTAGATAATGGACTGATAATTCCAAAAGCCTTACATTTCGCAACCGCACTGTATATGTAGTTATCACGAGAACAATTAATTTGACTGATCGATGCAAGTACATAGTATGTTCGTTGACCGTCTCAATTGATTTGCTTTTATTTTTTTTCTTCAATTGCGCTCATGATTCTGTGTTTTTATTTTTTGCCCAAATTGATAACTGTGTCTCTGGGCAATCATTGTTTTCTTAATCCGAACCTATTGAGTCTCCAATCTGTGATTAAATTGTCTTAATTTGTTCAATTTTTCCACAGAGACCCTGGGCAACAAATTGTGCGCCTCCTGGGAGCTGGAACTCGAGAAGACCAAAGGAAAACCCAATCTGTTAAGGGCTCTTCTTCGGGTATTTGGCTGGTACTTTGCCCTCTTGGGCCTGGTGCTCTTCTTGCTGGAATTGGGTCTCCGAACGCTGCAACCGATCTTCCTGCTGAAACTCATCTCCTACTATTCACATGGCTCGGAATCCATTGAAGCGGCCTACTACTATGCCGGTGGAGTCATCGTGTGCAGTGCCCTCAATGTCATCATCATGCATCCCTATATGCTGGGCACAATGCATGTGGGTGAGTCAAGGCTGTCTCTTTTCATATGATTATTAATATAAATAAGAACAGTAAATATATATTAAAACAAAACAAGATA